ATTCTCTCGCTCTCGCGCTCTCTCTAGCAAATGTGATCTGTGCTGCTCTCCCAGCACAGGCAAATGTAGTCGTTTGTGGCTGTTGTCGTCCCCTTAAACCAGTTGAAAGAGCAGACGACGATGGCGACGCCTGCCCGCAGAAAAGCGAATCAGCCGACGACAACAGCAACAACAAAATCAACAGTAAGTAATCAAAAAGCGACAGTGAATGTGAATGGAAATCTACGAAATAAACGGCGGCCGCAAAAGTCTCTGCTGCCGTCGACGTCTGCGCAGACAGCAGCAACTTCATTATATAATAGATTCGATTCGAATTCGAACTCGAAATCGATTGCGATTGAATTTTTAGCTGTTTTTTTTTGTTGTTTTCTGCTTCTTCATTTCGTTGATGTCTTTGTTTTTCTTGAATTTTTTATATATACATATATAAATATATATCTTTTTTGTTTTGTGTTTTGGAATGAGGAGAAAAAGGAAAAGGAAAGAAAAAAAGTGATGTTGCAAGCAAAAACAAAATGATAAATAATACAAATTAACGTTGCCTTCTGCGTTGCGGGAATTTCGAGCTGTCGTCCACTCCACTGCCCCCCTTCCCGCTCTCCCCCACAGTCTTAACGGCCCGCTTATCACTGTTTTCTAGAGCCCGCATTAAAATAACGAAATAAGCGTAAACATTTGCCTAACAAAATTTCATCCACAAAAAAATATATAAATAATAAAAAAAAATACCAATAACAATCATAATAAATAATCGCATGCTGTAATAATAATTGCAGCAGAAAAACCCCCTGCACAGAAAATATGAATTGAAAATAAGACTGAAATACAAACAGGGTCAACACACATATCACATTTAAACACAACCCCCCCCACCTAAAACACACACACAAATACACACTTCTCAACATAAGTTGCGTCATTCGAAACTTCACCAAATGCAAATGTATATAATCTGTACTAGTATATATAATACAATATATTTTTGAAGTTTTGAATAATGAAAGGTGACCAAAACACGTACTGCCACCTAGTAATTCATTATTGAATTATTAGCTTAATTTGCTGAAATTTATTTGTCATTTGAGCATTTACTAAATAGTTGAATTTAACTTGATTAATTTGCGGTTGGGTCAATTTCAACGTCAGATCATAGGTCATAGGTCCAATGCCAAGAGAACAAGATTCACTAAAGCCGTCAAATTTAAACCGTTTTTAATTTAGTCATGGGCGTTGTCAGGTATAAAAAGGGGGCGGTCATATGTATCTCAATGTATTTGCTGTGTTTAGCTCGAGATTAAATGAAATTTGTTGTCAAAGTCATCAATCTGTAGTTAACCTCTAACATCCTGCATTTCAACACACTGTGATAACGGTGTGTTGACTACAAACACACTCGCACACGCATACACACACACATTTATATTTATTCCCATGCATATATAAATACAATAAACAGTTGTTTAGTTGGAATACTTTAATGCTTCAAAATGTATTTAATATTGTAAGTTAACATTTAGGTTAAAGATTCGATCATTTATCGTAGTTATTGTTATTGTTACTATTACTTTTATTGTTGCTGTCTGTCACTAACCATATTTCTCTCCGTATCCGTCTCTGTCTCTGCCTCTGTCCCTGAAGGCGCCCAACGAGCCGCGTCGACCCCACCGCAAGAAATATAACAGAGACACGCACACACTTACGCATATGTGCACACACATACATATGTACGTACTTTGGCACTCAATTGAGCGACCATTAGCAAGGCAGCAGCAGCAACAAGCAGCAGCAACAAACAGCAACAACAACAGCAACATAAAGCGCATATGAAGACAATTTTAAGATTACAACAACAACAACTGCGCCAGGCAATGACAATAGAATATGAAGTGGATGGCAGGCAGGCGGCAGGCGAGCAGGAGAGGAGGCGATTGCTTGACTCCTCGCTCAATAAGCGCGTCGCAGTCAAGATCGTGAGAGCTAGTAAGTGCAAGTGAGAGGGCAAGTGGGGCTCATACATAGCGGGTGACGCTGATGTTGCTGTTGTTATTGTTGTTGGTGTGGGAGATAGCGAACGATGAGCGACGACATCGCACGAGTGCACACACTCAACGGCCGACAGACAGACAGACGTAGAGACGTTCACGGTATTGATACACACATATACACACAGACACATGTATAACAACACAACTCATACATATTTATTTATTTATTTCGCTCTGCTCGTTTGTCCGTTCGTTTTTTTTTAAATATTTTTTTTTATTTCTTGTTTTACAACTCAACGATAATAATAATAATAATAATAAGCTACAGCAGCAGCAATCGTCAGTAACTGGCACGCAAATAATTTATATGCATATATATTTTGTATTTTTGTTAAATTGCATTACTAAAACAGAAAACCGCAAAAAAAAAAAAAAACAAATTAACAATATATATAAATACACAAAATAAAATAAAAGCTTGCACATTCGGCTGCTTGCTTTGGCAACATGTTGCTGTATCTATGGATCTGCATGTGTGTGGGTGCACGCAACTCCGACACACACACATATATACGAGTTAAGTTGACCTGCGAACGAAGGCTTGGATTGCATATTAATCGAATTGTGTTCAATCGTATCGCATCGAAATGAATTGAAGTTCCAGGCGAGAGGAGCTAAAGAAATTCTCCATCCCCTCTTCTCTTATGGTGTTGTTGTTGTTGTTGCTGCGTCTGCGACTGCTGCTTCTTCTTAGGTAGGTAGGTAGTCGCAGCCAGAGTCGGAGTCACAGCAATGGCGACGACGCGACGTCGGGACATGCGCACACATACACATACATTTGTATGCATGCATTTATACATGCATATGCATATATATGTATATATATATATATATATATATCTGTGTGTCTGTTTGTTTGTGTGCATGTCTACAATGCAGCGGCCGCGACGGCGTTGTTATCGCCTTGGCAGGAAATGGAATTATATTCGTAAAAAGTGGTCGCTGGTTCGTTCGTAAGTAAGAAAAAGTGCCGCTGTCCCTTTGGCCTCGCAGTCCGCTGCTTAACTCAAGTAGATGTGCATACATAAATATAAATATATAACTATATATATACATATATTTATTTATATGTATATAAACGAAATTTGATTACGAAGCTATGAGGATTTGATATAAGAAACTAAGCATTTTGTTTTTGGGCGCAACCAAAAGTCAGCAGCAGCAACAACAACAACAACAACAGCAAGCTAACTAACCAAGCAAGCACACAGCAGCAAAAACAACAACAACTGTGCATTTAAATTTCATAATAAAAGTAACGAAACAGCAGTAGCAGCAACAACAGCAACATCAACAGCAGCAGCAGCAGCAACTACGAGACGACGACGACGAAATCAAAAGTTATGCGAAAAAGTGAATTTCAGCTGAGCAACAAGCAGCAGCAGCTTCATCCACCTGACAACAAATAAAAAAGTGAACGCATTTTGCGAGCACAAAAAGCAAAAAAAAAAGAAAAGAAAAGCACATGCGACATGCAAAGCAGCAGTAGCAGAAATGATGATAAAAAAAATAAAAATTTAATACATACGAAACGTGTTTTTGCATTTGCGATATTGTTACGGACAAACTTGTCGCCTGCGCAAAACAAAAGCAGCGACCGCAAGAAACAAAAGCAACAAACAACAACAAGCGCTGATCGTTCGCTTGTTGCAGCAGTTTCAGTTTCAGTTATGCTTGTGTGTGTATTACACATACATATTAATAGATATACATACACACACACACATATATATTATATATATATATATATATATATGCGCCCTTTCGCTTTCAGCGGCAATTTGTTGCTATTGCTTTGCCTACTGCTGCTGCTGCCGTTGTAACAGTTGCAGTTGTCAAAATAAAAGAGAGGAGAAAAAAGTGCTGTGTAATGACAGGCGATCGCGATTATGACAACCAAATATTTTCCATTGCATTGCAATAATCAGTTTGCAGCCATTCAATAACAATCGATAACAAGCCAAGCAAAGTTCAGGCAATCAAACAGAAAAACACAACACACGACAAAATCAAAAACAAACGCACAAAAAACAAAAGCTTTGCAAATTTTATCGGACATCAACCTGTTACAAATGTGGATGCCGCTGTGTGTGCGTGCGTGCGTGTGTGTGTGTGTGCCGTTTATTGTCGCTCATTGTACATAGTTGGTTCTACTTGACCCGTCCGGCAGTGCACTCAGCTCTGCGTTGCTGTTCTAGTTGTTGTTGTCTTACGCGAAAACAATATCTACTTTAAAGCAGCAGTGAGCCCCCTTCCAATTCGCCTACCACCAATTTGCCGCGTTAATGGCAACAACTTTGCACGTAACCGCAATCGAGTCACGGCAATAACTTTAAACTTGAGGCTCTTTTGCTCCGCTCAGCTCAGCTTAACTCAGCCTCTCCAAACAATAAAAGCAAAAGGAAAAAAAAAAAACTAAACGAAAATCCAAACCCGGAACTTACTGACTTAATCGAATTTGTTGTCGATCAACAACAACAACAGCTGTTACTGCTGCTTCTGTTGACGGAGACGCTGACGCTGTCGTCGCAGCAGCAGCAGACATTTAAATATGTGTAGATGATCATGAGCTTTTTTTCTCTCACATATATATATATATATATTTATTTATATATGTATTTTTAATGATGACGACCAATGCAAACAGTATTTTACAGCCAGTTACAGCTGGTAATACTAAATGAAAGAAAGACAGGACGCTTTTGCCACCTGCCCACTTATCAACAACAACAACAACTGCCTTATCAGTTGATTGTTATTTATTATTATTATTCTTCGTTTATTTGTTTTTGTTCAACTCGTAAGACTTGTGTTTTGCAACCAAAATATAATTGTGAATCAACTGATCGAGACTAATAAAAAGAAATGTTGACAAAATGCACATTTCACTAGTTTTTTTTTTTAGTTTTTTTTTTATATATCCTGAGCATAGTGTAGACTTTTTTGTAGACTTACCACTGCCTGGAATATGTCATCATCGCACTCGAAATAGTGTGAATTGCCGCCGCCGACGATATTTGCAGTTGCTGATGATTTTTGAACAATTGTCGCAGACATTTTGGTTGCTTTTGTTGTTCGTTCTTTCTTCACTCGGCACTCTCGTATTTCACTGGACAGCGCAAAAAACGACGAACTCTTTTATCTTTGTTGTTGTTGTTATTATTAATATTTGCTGGACGTTTTGTGTTTTTTTTTGTTTTATTAATTCTTTTGCTGACTGTTGAATTTGTTTTAAAATTTGTATTTTAAATTTTGTAATTTTTTATTATTTGTATTTGCACTAGTGAACGTTTATGGCTTCTTGAAATTTTTGATATTTGCTAGTTAAATTGTAGTTCGTTTTTGATGTTGCTTTTATTATTGCGCTGCGCGTGTTGCATTTCAATCAACAAGCTAGAAGAGGAAGAGAAACGAGAAAAACAACGACAGCGTTAGAAAGAATTCCACTCCGAATTGAATTGAGACTCGCGGAGAAGGCAAAAAAAAAAAACACATAAAACATACACAAATACAGCTACACGTGCATTTCTCGTGTGTGTGGGTGTGTGTGCGCATGTGCATGTGCGTGCCTGTGTGTTGGTGTGTTGTGTGCTACGATTGCGCTCGAATGCGAGCCGGCTCGGCTCTCAAAAAAGGATTTTCACGCACATGTGTCAAACATAAAATAGGCGTAGGAGCGAGAGAGAGCAAGACTGACTTAAAAATTCAACGCGTCTGTCTTGTCCCTTTTTATTTGTATGTAGTGGTTGGTTTTTTTTTTCTTGTGTTTCAAAACAGGCGAGCGTTATTATTATTGTTGTTGTTGGTGTTTGCTTTGCTTTTGTCGTCTTCGTTTTCGTTCTCAGTGGCAACAGATAAGCTTGTCGTCGTCTCGTCGTTCTTTCGTGTTCTTTACTCACACGGCTCAACTGCGATTGTGTTCGTTCTGTGTGTGTCTGTGTGTGTGCCTTTCAGTGTTCGTATTTCAGCTCAAATCACATGTCTGTCTCTGTTAGTGTTCGTGTGTAATTTTGTGCTGCGCAAGCAGAACAAACGCAGGCAGCCAGTCAAAGGCAGACTTTGTTATTGTCGTGGATTCTCCTTCTCCTTCTTCATTTTTATTTCTAATTTCTTTTTTATTTTTATTCTGTTTTTTGTCTTGCTTTTTTTTTTGTAATTATATGTTGTGTCCTCTTTGGCTTATTTTGCACACAGTCTGCGCAGTTCGGTCCTTTGTCGACTCGAATTTGTGCGCGCCTATTTGAAAAATTCAATTTTTTTGATTAGCTAGGAAGAAACGATCACAGCAGAATCACGCTTCAAAATTCCCGCGCACTCCACACACACTATTCAATTGCAGTGGCGAACAAAAAACAAAAACAAAACAAAAATGAAATAAATAATTTAAAGCAATTGGCAATTGAAATTGCGGTTATTTCTTTTTTTTCTTAAATGTTTCAATAACAAATTTGTCGCCGCCTACTCTTGATCAATTGTCGATCGCATATAAAATCAAATTGAATTTAATTAAAAAAAAAAATTGTTTAATCACAACACAATCACACTTTTGGCTTACTTTACTGCTGAGCACAAAAACTAACTTAAATACGAGTTGCAAAATATCCTGGCACGTTTTGCACCTTAGTTTTTGTGCAGCAGGCAAAAAACACGTCCGCTCTCAATAATGAATGTTACAAATATGAACTGTTATCCCACTGTAGCGATGGTAGTCCATCGACGACAGCATTAACAATATCGAAAATATGTTAGATCGTGTGCGGTACGATCTTATCGATAGTACTTCCACCACAGTTTTCATTATTAAACTCAATCAGCACTGTTATGTTGTTCCTCTGTTATCTCTCTTCGACAGTGAATGTTACTATTATACTCGAAATGGCCAGTTATGTTTTTTAAAATAAGCTATTAAGCATTGAAAGAGCAGTTAATATATTTAAGTTGTGTTGGCCAGAAATGAATTTGTACTGGCAGAGATTTTTGTTCTTTAGCGCTAATTTAGCTGCATTTAAAATCATACTCCGTTGCCTGCATCAATTTCGGCTCGAAATGGTAATGTTTCTGTTAAAATTAACCATCAAATGGTAACTGCGCGCCACAAAATTCGATATTTGAAAATTTAGTTTCTTTTATTTAGTATTTATTTTGTGTTGTTCGTAGACTAACAACCCACTGTATTGGCATTGATGAACTGAACAAACAACTGCGGCACCTGCGCCAGAGGTGCCGGCGTCGTCTGGCTCGCCCGACACGTGCTCGTGATGAATTTTTGCCGCAAGCGATTCAGCTGCATAGCATTCATTGATGTGGTCACCTTGACCTTAACGGTGCTTCCCCTAACGCGCAACTGACCAAATGCCCCAATTTTCACTGCACCCAGTATTTCCTTAATGATCTCCTGCATAATAATGTCCAGCTCAAACAGGTAGTTTGTGGCGCCCAAAGGCGGCTAAAATAGACAACAATAACGACAAAAATCGAATTCAATAAAGAGGACATAAAATTAAACCGTTGACATACGTTTTGTGTGCTCTGATTGGGCGGCAATGGTTGCGTCTCATATAGCGATTTGTAGATGGCCTCTAAATCGATGGCATCCTCGGGCAGTGCCACAACCAATGGGCTATCCCAGCGACTGCTGCTCTGTGGCTCCTCGTAGCGCATGCACAGCGCATCGAATATTTCACGGGTATACGGCACGTTTGAGTTGTTTGGCCGTCGATCCGATTGATCCGCTTGCTCATCCAATTTATCCGGCTCGTTGCGTTCTATGTTGAATGTCCAGGCCTGCTCCAGCGGTATGCAAGTAAAAAGTGTGCATTGTGTCGTTCTCACCGCCTTGGTCATGCAGTGTAGCTCATAGCGAAACCCTAAAATGGATGTGGATGAAAATATTTGCCAAGTGCAACAACAACAATGTGTGTGATATAATTGCACCTTTGATATAATTGCCCGCATCGAGGATGACGACATCGTCTTTGTTGAGGTGTCGCGATGCCTCCGATTTGAGATCGCTGCGCACAACCTTCTCGCTTTGTGAGCTGTTGAAGAAGGCGTTCTTCTCGTAGAGCGCTTTGGGCACCGCCTCGTTCTCGCTTATTATATGCACCCTTTTGCCTTTGCCCGCCAAGTAGTCGTGCAGCTGGCGGGCTCGAGTGGATTTGCCGCTTGCCGGTAGGCCAGTAATTATCACAATTGGCATTTGAATCTGTCCAGGCAGCTGTCTTGGCTTGCAAAGTGTTTTCCCAATTTGTGCATGTGCTGAATGCTGCCGATATTATCTATCGTGTATCGATACTATCGGTAGGACAACTATTTACTGTGGCAGTGTTGCTCAACGCTGTAAAAATGTAAAAGAATACATTTGCCGCACAATTCACAGGCCAGCTTGACATGGTCCAGATTCCATTGCTTCACTACATCATCGTACCATTTGCATCATGGCGGAGAGCCGCAGGCGTTTCCGCAACAAAAAACGGGTGAGTTGGCACACACACAAAGTATGCGTATATATATGGAGTCGATATTAAGATTTCAACTATGAATACGCATAGGATGAAGGGCGTCCAGGTCCATCAGCGTCGACGCCCGTAACAATTGCACGGCGCGAGAATTTGCGTTCACCGGTTGTGACGTGCGTGCAGCCAAAGATATTGCTGAAAAAGGAGCTCGATGCGAATACCGGCAGCAGCAGCAGCGGCAGCAACACCGAGCTGACCACATCCTTCAAAACGATAATCATCAATCGCAGCGAGCTGCCAACCCAGCAGCGCAACAGCTGCGAACGTGCCGCAGGCTTCAGCTCCATCTCCAGCGTGGCAATAACTACAGCTGCTACGACCACGACGACGCCGACGACTAGTAACACAACTCTTTCTACTCCTGCTCCTACACCGACAACTACTACGACCAGCAATTCTGCTTCAAATGCAACCACATCCGCATACGCATCCTCATCCAGTGTATGCCCCGCACTAAACTCAGCCAGCAAGGAGAAGGCAAATGGTAGTACATCGACTGGAGGCATGCAGGATGTCCAGTTGGTGCCGCCGCGCATGACGCGACCAACGCCGCTGTTGAATGCGAATGCCCGAAAATTTTTCCACAAGAGCAACACAGACTTCACCGTCATCGGTGTGCTCGGAGCGCAGAGCGTGGGCAAATCGACGCTGCTCAATCTGTTGGCTCAGGAACGTTCCAGCGACTACGATTACTATCAGCATCTGTTTGCGCCCGATGCGAACGAATGCATATTCCCCATTAGGCATCGATCCAAATCGCAGCAGACAGCCAGCTCCAGTTCTGCGTCCGTCGTTGCCAAGTACGTGCTGCGTCCACGCACCGATTGCCTCCTGTTTTTCATCACACGAGAGCGATATGTGCTGCTGGACTCGGCACCGATGCTGACTGGCGACGGCACCGCCAAGGATGCGGATCACTTGGATCTGCATACGCTGTCCAGCATGATGCAGCTGCTCAGCGTCTGTCATATCCTGCTGCTGGCCATCGATGACATCAATCTGGAGCAGTTGCGTCTCCTCCATGCCGCGTTGCGTCTCCGCCCGCGCAACCCCAACAAGAGCCATGTGCCCGACTATCTGCCCCAGGTGCTGTTTGTGCGGACGCGCGCCCAGCGCCAACACTTTGAGCCCATTCACCGCGAGCGCCTGGACAGGCAGCTGGAGCTGCTGTACTCCGGCACCAATTTACCCATCTATCGGGGACGGGGCGAGGCGCGTACAATTAACACACTGCTGCTGCCCCAACTGAGCAGCAATGCGGCCACAGCGCATCATCCCAATCTGGCGGAGGTGGTGCGTCAGTTCCGTGAGCGCGTCCTCGGCACAGTGCGAATGGCGATGTGCCAGCAGCAGAACAGCAACGATTTCAGCGAGATGCACTGGTTCGACATGCTTGCGGAGACAGTCAGCAAATGCAACGCGGCCAGCCAGCACTTTGAGCAGATCTATGCCGAGAACAAGCTGAGTCATCTCGAGTTGCGCTCCAAGCTGCCAAGCTGCGATTCCAACTGGCGCAACGACTCCTGCTGAGCAGCAGCGTCATGGATTAGAGTGGGACAGCTATAGATGAGATTATCTTATATATGTATATATGTAGAAATGTATATATTATTGATCGACTTTTGGAAAGTCGGCCTGATCGAACCGATCTTTGTTGCACAACTTTTTACAGGGTATGTAAAGTGACACTGCCTAGCTGTGTGCTTCCTTTGGTGTTTATTGATTTCAATTCAATTTTTTCTTTTCAAATTCAAATTACAATTTGTACTTTTTTTGTTGTCAATTTTGGATGAATTCAAAGAGAAACATTTTGGAAAATGCGTTTAATGCAATTCGAAGAGAAAGGCGTAAATTTAGGTCAAAGGCTGTTTGTGAATAAACCGAGGACAACAAATTTATGTTTGTCCTGCATTTGAAAATCGTTCTTTTATATATATATATATATATATATGTATGTGTATATATATAGAGTGATTATGTATATAATGAGCGGGTGGGTGTGGTGTCTAGTGTCGAGTGTGTCTAGATCAAGGTGTACTCTTTGTTTGGTTGTGTTTGATATCACGTTTGCTTTGGTTCGCGTTCGCGTTGGCGTTCAGTCTCAAAATCAACATGGACATCAGGATTGACATCTTTGTTGCTTTGGTGTACTATCAAATCTGGTGGCTCCTGTTGCTGCTGCTGCTTCTGCTGCTGTTGCTGATCGAAGTTGTTTGGCGGCTTGCGGCAGACCCAGAAGAGGCTTTTGTATTTGCTCTGCTTCATCGATAGCGGATTCTGTGCATATTTGGTGCTGATGCCGGTGTGTGTGCTGATTATGTCAAAGCCGATGCTCTCCATAATGATGACCAGATCCTCGTACGTCGGCTCAATGCTGTTCTGCCCGCTGATGTCGCTGTAGTGGTACAGCAGCGGTCCGAGATTCACCCAAATGCCACCAGGCACTAGAATTCTACAAAGAGAGACAGTTTGCGTTATTTGGGCCAGGATTGAGATGGTTGCCACTCACTTGTAAATGGTGCGTATAAAGTCAATCACATTGTTGGCGCAGTCGATGAAGAAGCAGGTGGCGACACAATTGTAGGCATTCGGCGTTTTGTACACCTCGAGAAAGTCACCCGCTGCCATCTCAATGTTGCCCTTGGGCGGATATTTGACGGGGCAAACGTCTGGGAAGCGTACGGGTGCCACCTGATCGGCGCGACGCATATTGTTGACATACTGATGCACCCAGGGATACAGGACATGCTTGTCCTCGTAGTCGCACAGGTTGAGCACAAAATTCGATGCGATCAGCATGAAGTAGGAGAACTCATTGCCCTCGCACGCATAGCCGCGACAGGCGAGCTCATAGGTGAGCCTGCCCAGACCAGCGCCGGGCACCAGAATCTTAATCTCGTTCAGTTTGCTGCAAAGGTTGTGTGTTAAATGATATATACTTGAATATATGTGTATATATATAGTGTGGATTACTTACTAATCAGTCGGCTTGTAATACTCCTCGATGCTGTCGATGATGGGCTTGTAGGATTGCTCACGCTCCACGGCGCACTCGGAGCTCCAGTCGCGCGCTATCAGTTTCAGTGTCGATTGAGCCTTTAAAATTTTGAGAGGTTCAACAACATCATCAGCAACATCATCATCATCTTGACCATCAACACGAAAATTAGTCTGAGATAGAAATATTTTATCGTTTATGGATATTAGTCTTATTTTTCTTTTCTTTTAAAGTTGTTCATTTGTTGAAGCCACAAGAAAATATTAATCTCAAAATAGATTTGACTGATTTTGGACAAGATGATAAATGAATAATTCTCAAATATGGCAATTGAATTGCAATTCAAAAAAATAAAACCAGCGCATGCATATGTGAGAGAGAAAGAGAGAGAGAGAGAGTGAGATGGGAATAGTTGCACTGCTGCTTGCTGTCACTCTCTCTATCTCGATCTCTCTCTCTCTCCGTCTCACTCACTTGATCCATGTCACCATGTCGAACATGTTCGGGCGCCTCGTCCAGCTGGCTGGCATCGCTGACGTCTGTGGCATTATCTCCCGTTGGATAGAGAAGACGATCCCGCAAAATCTCTCGAATCACAGCCTGATTGCAGTCGATGCAGTTGCGCACGTTGTCCAAATGCGAACGGTATTTGGACAGGAGACGCTGATCGTCCGCAGCCAAACTATTCAGATAATCTTCTGTCTTGTTCACCCTCAGATACGCATACCGTCTGTGGAGTATATTGAAACAGATGTAGTTTTAAGATTAGAGCGAGTGTCCTAAATACACACACTAAATACATATATATACACACACATACACACAGTCAAATGCATACGCATGCCGCCGTTATCAGCTGTTGGACAAGCGCATGCATGCACATACAGTGCGTCAAGAAAGTGTTTGGACAATCGCTGTTTACGATTTTGCAATTCCCTCTTCGACAGATCCCGTTAGGAATGAACGACTTTTTTTTATTATGCTAGAAATTGTCCGTGCAAGATCATGTTTGCATAAAAGTTATAAGTTAAAAAATAACCGCATTTGATATCGTCGTATTATATTTTAAAATATAATTATTTAAATGTTTGTTAAATAACTTCACGAAGTCCAATTTATAGTCGAAAAATAAGAGAGAACAAATAAGTCAAAAATAATGATGTACTTATTTTTTGCAAAAGGATGCATAAAATATGATTTTTTTGCGGTGCCCACACACTTTCTTGGCATACTGTACATACATTCATTTCATCGCAGTACATGTTGTGTGTGTATGCGCTTCTGATGAAATGGGGAGGGGATGCAGGGGGAAAAGAGTCAGGAGTAATAAGCATTTTCGTGCGGTTACATTATTACCGTTTTGTTTACAATTGCTATGTAGTACCCACCTGTAGTACTGAAAGGCATTCTGCACTTTTCGTATGTGTCGTCGCTCCTCCTCGTCCTCTTTAGTCGAAAATACCAGCGTCTGATCCTCATGCATTTTGGGATGCATGGGGAATGGCAATGATGGCAGCATATCACTCGTGTGCACAATAGAAACAACGTTCAATTTTCAAGCCTAAAGACGCCTAAATGCCAATAAATTTTTAACTACACTTATCGATACTTTACTTATGACATATATCGATAGGTGGACTCATATTTACTCCATTGAAAATCGATGCATCGCCTTTGAATTATCGATGCTGCCTGAGCAAAATGACAGTTACTTTGAAATTAAATATATATTTATATTTTCTACTGACTAAATAAACACGTTTATCATGCATATTATCAGTTTATTAAGTGTATTACATGTAACAAAGATGTGTGTGTGTGTGTATTAGTAAATTAACTTTACGGGTTAAACAAGTGGCAAACATTTTGGATATGAACGCAATATGCAATGCACAGCGTATCAACTGAACAGCATCAACAAAATCTTAAAGTTAAGACCGGTTAATTAAAGATAATTAAATATTTGTACAAACATTGATAAGGACACGTGACATTGGGATTCGATTGATGCGATTTGCTTCGTTCTCGGCTGGGCTGCTGGATATAGATGATATCCGAGCATGTTGATTATTATATTAGTATATGTACATACTTTAAGTATAAAGTATAAGTAGAAATAAAGATATTGCTTATAAGTTAATTACGCTGACTGGCAAACAACAAATACATACATATTTCAAAGTATTGTCTTATCGCATCGTGTTTGCATCTACAAATTTAAGTAGCAGCGCATTTGACCACAGGAGTATTTCGAGTTGCGACATATACATAAAATGTATACAAAAAAAAGGTTCAAGTGCAAGAAAGGTTTTTGATTTTTGAGGTGCACATTTTAGCCTTCAGCGGGATGCGGCAACGGCTTCTCCGCTTCAATATTTAGGTCCAGCAGCGCAGCCAGTTCGTCCACCTCCCGCTCCCGCTGCCTATCACGCTGTCGCTGAGGGGATGCAGGTGTTGACAATGTCTCGGCGGACGGCGCAGGCGATCGGGTTGGCGTTGGTGTTGTCGAAGGCGTTGTGGAAGCTGAACCAGCTGCTGGCGTACCCGGTTTCTCTAGCAGCATCACGTCCGCATCAGCATCAGCATCGGTGTTGGGCGGCGCAATTGAATTGAGTGACCAGCGTGGAGGGCTGCTGGAGCTGGCTGCTGGAAAAACGACATCAGCTAAGGAGAGTGCAGTTGCTGCACGCGATGTAGACGCAATGTCATCGTTCTCTTTGACCAGCTGCTCCTCCTGCGCTTCCTCCTGCGATTGGATACGATTGCGCTCCTTCAGCTGTTCAGCGACCTTCTTGAGGTAGTTCTTGTCCTGCGTGGGGCACTCGAGATGAACACAGTGAAATATCTGCAATGTAACACATACAGAATTGAGAACCGCTTGGATATGCATATCCCACACACACATATATGCCTACATACCTCATTTGCCGTGTTCCGCGTGCCCACAATGCGTATGAAGACAATGGGGCGCGGGGAAAAGTGAAAGTTCTGCCAGGAGCGCGCCTTCTCATTGCGCTTGTCAACCACCATTTGCCAGTTTTTGCGATTCGTCGAGGTCTCAATGTAGAAGCTGTAGGTGCGATCGTCACAGTCCCATAAGAGCAGACGCATCGAGCCCACATAGTACGGCTGGCCCAGACGCACAACAATCTCACCGCTGCCGAGCTGATGGCACGTATAACCCGAGTCCCAGTCATAGTGCGCATGATCGCCATTAATCAATGCATTCCGTGTGCGACTGACGCCATCGGTAACAATTGCGCTCATCTCAGTGGTGGCCACGTTTGCTTTGGGCGCGACAAATCCATCAATTATCGTTGGCACCTTTGACGTGTGCATGGCCTCCAGTCCGACCACATGAAACACCTGGATTAAGAATCATTTTGACTGTCTTAGCTGCTATATATATATATATATATATATATACATATGTTTAGTTATTTATCCTATTAACTCACCCGATTGACCGTGTTCTGGGTGCCCACGAGGCGTATGAAGCGCACTGGGCGTGCCTCAAAGTACAGATATTGCCAGGAGCGGCAATGGTATTCACTGTAGTCAATGACGCGCTCCCAGTGCTGTTGATTGCCAGAGACCTCCACGAAGTAGGAGTAAGCGCGACTATCGCGATCCCAGAGCAGCATGCGCAGATGATTGATCATGCACATTGTGCCCAGTTCGATCACAATGCCGGCATCATTGCTGTCCGTAATGCAGTGGCGCGTGTAGCCGTGCTCCATGTCGTACGAGGTAACATCCCCATCCAACAGTGAGGAACGGCATTCGCCTTGAATGCAACGCGATGAATACTTGGCGGTGGCCACATTCTCCTCCGGCCAGAGAGCTGCACGATATGGCAGCGTTTTCGATGTGCTCCGCTCGTCGATGGCGTCAAGAATTTTGTCCGGTTCGAGGATGCCGGATGGGCGCACCACTTGCAGCAGATGCTCGAGATTCATCAACGGCAGTCGGACAAAGGAGACAACGGTTTTGATATCAACATCGGGATTATAGCGACTCCATTTCCACACAGCCAAAAAAATTTGCACCTCTGGCGCAAAGAAGCAATCACGGCGCAGCACTTCCTCCAGCGATTCCTGAACGAATAGCGTATTTTAATATTATTAATGTAGCCTCCACTCTCCACATGCAAAAACTCTTACCCTTGAGAGCATCTTAAAGGTATCATGCTGTAGGAGATCCGCTGCATTCCGGTCCATGAACATGAGGCACACTTGCGTTAGCTCATCGAGATTGTAAAGACGTGCTGCGTCCAGTATCATGCAGACGTTATTCAATGCCAGATACTGACGCAAATATTTGGAAATGGCCATTTCCAGGTCCTGAAAGCCGAATTGATTGGCCATGCCCAAGGCATCGATGACGGCGTCCTCATCCAACGTGGCCAGCTTGAGGATGCCCGAGTAGATGTAGCGCAATAGCACCTTAAACGGAACCAGTGGCACTTCTAACGAAATTTGCCGTTGTGTTCCCTCCGACATGCCGCCGTACAGTAACGCTCGAAAGTATTTGCTGCGTGCGGCGAGAATGGCGCGATGCGCCGGCAAGCGTTGCTCCTCGACAATGAACTCAACATCCGCATAGCGATCGTTCATGCAGAGGCGGGCAATGTCCGCTGAGAAGCGATCGCCCAGGTCGATTTCGTCTGTGTATTCCGTGGGGGAGTCTGTATTGCTTTTAACGCTGGCCAGTGTTGCCAGGCTGCCGCCGCCACATCCGTGCATCTTGTGATGCCCTTGACTGCTCATTGCGCTTACTGTTCCGATTATTAATGCATTTGTGCAATTTGAATTGAAAAATGTAAAATGTGCGATTTAAGTCATGATTTATTTAGCAAGTTGTTCGGTTTGCAACTCACCCACTTGTTTAATTAATTAGCGGCAGAGTTTTGGTGTGTCGTCGTTTGCTTAAAAATTTATTTCTTTTTGTTGTGTGTTTTAACTTTTACGGTTACGGTTAACCCGTTGAACACAATGGATTATTTGGCCATCCACTTACTTTTTGGCGCTGGTGTTTCCTGAATGTAGTCGACTGTCTAATAATTAAGTAAGTACGTAGATTTACTCAGGCTGCCTTATTATTATTATTATTTTATGCATGTGAATAGGTAATGTTTTCTAGTCGGAAGAATTTATAACTTAGAGATGGGTGTAGCCAAATTGATATGATATCGATACATCGATATTTTTCAAATAAACAATATATTGCTGAAAAATACTGGTTTTAGTGAATGAGGGAAATCTGATTATTTAGAACTCTGATATTAAAATCTCAAAAGTCTGCAATATGCCAAGTCTACTGCTGATATGCAAGTTAACTGTAAATATATATACATATATAATACAGTAAATATATTACTATTGTTTATATGCGACTTTTTGACCATTTTTACTTGTCGATTTGGCCTATATTAGTAATCGATAGCTGGTAGCAGGTATGGCAATTAATATCGTTGCAATGCGATAGACACCTATCGACTATCAACTCTCATCTCTAAGTGACTCTTTTCGTGCTGCGGAGGCGATCTGCAAACTCGTGGCGAAGTTGTGCATTAAACTTTCGTTGTCAATTTGCTCAACAAGAAAAGGTTAATAAACGCGAACGAAGATCTTTTGCAGCTGCAAAACAATATATCAGTTTACATTTATCAATTCCAGATGCCTGGCGTTGAAACAATAAAATCTAGTTGGGCCGACGAGGTGGAGCTGGACTACGGCGGCCTGCCACCAACAACGGAAGCGGTTGAGAACGGCCACAAATATGTTACCGAATACAAATACAACAAGGACGATAAGAAAACGAAAGTGGTGCGAACGTACAAAATATCCAAACAGGTAGTGCCAAAAACCGTTGCCAAGCGCCGCACCTGGTCCAAGTTTGGTGAATCGAAAAATGACAAGCCCGGCCCCAATTCGCAGACAACAATGGTATCTGAGGAGATAATCATGCAGTTCTGAACTCCAAGGAGGACGAGAAGGCCAACGATCCGCTGCTGGATCCCACAAAGAACATTGCCAAGTGTCGTATTTGCAACGGCGAACATTGGTCGGTCAATTGTCCATACAAAGGCACCGCCATGGATACGAATCTTATGGAGAAGAAGGCCGCTGCCGCTGCCTCCGCGGCCGTCGATGCGCCCAAGTCCGGTAAATATGTGCCGCCGTTCCTCAAGGACAGCCAAAAGGGTGGGTTAGGCATGCGTGGACGCGACGACACCGCAGCTATCCGCATCTCCAACTTGTCCGAGTCGATGACCGAGGTGGATCTAGAGGAACTGGTGAAAAAGATTGGTCCTCAGAGCAAAATGTACCTGGCCCGCGATAAGAACACCGGTCTTTGCAAGGGCTTCGCCTACGTTCACTTCAAACAGCGCAAGGATGCGGCCGCGGCCATCGAAATACTAAATGGTCACGGCTACGACCACTTGATCCTCAGCGTTGAATGGTCCAAGCCGCAGAACAATTAGATCACATAGCGTGTGGGTGTGATTACTATCGAGAGGATTTCAACTTTAATTGAAAAAGTACATTGTAAAACGCTTTTAATTATTTTTTGTTTGTTTGATAATTCCTGTCTTGGGGGAACCTGGTATTAGAGCTAAATAAAGGTTTCCTAAACTATGTAAAATAAAACAAAAATAAAAGGCTTGTCGGAGCTCCCAAAACGATTTCGAGTTCCTTGTGCCACATCCTTTATTTATGGACAAGACAGCGTTCTCTGACAGCGTTGCCACCTTTATTTAAATTTTGAAACGTATGAACTTAAACAGAAAAGAAAATAATAGCTGGCTTACGCACAAAACGCAGTCAGTGGCATGTGACGTCACGAGTGTGCCGACGAATTGGAGAGGCGCTCTCTTAGCGTTGCCAGCGCGGAGAAGCAACAATCGCTGCGCGCTCCGGCTATGACTAAAGAAAATATTTACATGTATCTTGTTTTTTTTTTACACAGAAATCTATTTTTTCCCACCTTTTTTCAGTTCATTTTTTATGCCGGAATAACACTAATTTTGTATTTAATTTGTTGTTTGCTTTTTTTTTTTAAAGAGCATATGTGATATGTAAGTAATTTAAATGTTTGTGTAAATAACACGAATATTAACTCGAATAGATTAATTTGCTAAATGTGCTCAGATGAAAGAAGTGCACTCAGGTTTTGACAGTTGTGTTTCGAGATAGGGTAGCACTGAGTGCGACCAAAGTGGCTGGTTTTGTTTATGTGTGTTTTGCTTGCGTAAATTGAATTTTGTTTTTGTTTTTGTGCGCCGCGTGCTAAATATAGAAATAGATGCCGCAAAAACATTTAAATTTGAAATATATGAAAATGCAACTATATTTCTAGTTGATTGGCAGGTGTGTTTTGCTTGTTTGTGCGCTCTCATTATGCTCCAAGCAGTGGTCGCAATGGAATCGTTGCCCACATCCTTAACCACCAAAGAATCCAAAGAATGTCTCACAATAAAGCGTGGCACGCGCATTCTCAGCGAGAAACCCTTCGCCTACGTTCTCAAGTCGCAGTATCGTTTGGAGCGCTGTGACAATTGCCTGGAGGCGTAAGTAGCGCCGTTGGGCTGGCTATCAATGTCAATCTGTATATGAATATGTTGCACGCTGTGTTGCAGGGTGCAGAAGGTGCGCAAGTGCTCGAATTGCCGTTATGTGTCCTACTGCAATCGCACCTGTCAGCAACAGGCGTGGCCGCTGCACAAGCACGAGTGCCCCTTCCTCAAGCGCGTCCAGCCGCGAATTGTGCCCGATGCGGCCCGCATGCTCTGCCGGCTCATCTTGCGCCTGGAGCACGGCGGAGATCTGGAACGCGGCTACTACACAGAGCATGGCTCACGCAAGTTTCGTGATCTAATGTCGCGTGAGTAACGCATATATATATATATATATCGATAAATAAGAATCAATTGCAGACTATGCGGAGATTAAGAACGACCCGAAGCGACGGGAGCATTTAGAATCGTTGCACGCGGTGCTAACGGACATGATTAGCGACAGCAACAGTGGCAGCAGCAGCATAGTGCCCAACATTACCGAACTGATGAGCATTTATGGCCGTGTAAGTGGCAAATGAACCAATGGCGAATCCCAAAGTCAAGCGAAGTTGGCATTTTTTGTGAGAGATCGTGGACTTATACGCTCCTTAGTTCTACTCATTCAAGCCAAGTCTCTCCGTTAATATATTTATATATATGGATCTGTATGTCGTCAATCTTCAATCTGCAATCGGGGGAATTCCCCAAGTCCTTGTAAATCAGAACAAACGCAAAGAAGAAGAATGTATATGTTTTTGGCACAGATTAATGCTGGCTGCTCGTTTGCCTGCCTGTTGGGCACGCTGCCAGAGGCTGCCCCAACTAGCAGCTGCAGCCAGCTGTGACAATATATAAATATGCGATTGCCACCTGACCTGCTCAATTTTACAATTGCAGCTCATTACGAACGGCTTCAATATACTGGATGCGGAGATGAACTCAATAGCGACTGCCATTTATTTGGGCGTATCCATAACGGATCACAGTTGCCAGCCGAATGCGGTTGCCACCTTTGAGGGTAACGAGCTGCATGTGCACGTCATTGAGGATTTGCCATGCTTGGACTGGTCAAAGATCTACATTAGCTACATCGATCTGCTCAATACGCCGGAGCAGCGGCGTGCCGATCTCAGGGAGCATTATTATTTTTTGTGCGTGTGCAGCAAGTGCATTGATCCCCAGGAGATGCACGAAATGACCGCCGCCGTCTGCCCCAACGCCAGCTGCGATGCCAGCGTCAACATTGAGCTGGCCAAGTGCCAGCAATGCGATGCCAGTGTAACGCCCCAACTTCGCACCGCCTACAATGATATTATGGCGTTCACGCAGAGCAGCCTAGACAGCATGAAGGAGGTGGCCTGTAAGTGATCCCCTAAAAGCTGTATTTTGTCATTTATTCAACATTCCAATTTGCATTTATTTATTTTTTCTACCGGTTGCAGATTTGGATGTGTGCAATGTGTGTTTGGAGAAGCAGCGAGGCGTGCTACATCCGCTGAATGTGTGGCATGTGAAGACACTCGATGCGGCTTTTGAGGCCGCCATTAATGTGGGCAAATGGACGGATGCACTGGCATTTGGACAGCAACTGTTGCCGGGCTTTGGCAAATATCATGGCGCATGGAACCCGCTGGTTGGTTTGCTGCACATGAAGCTGGGCAAGATTCAGCTGTACGAGCGCAACTACAAGCTGGCCGTGCATCATCTGCAGGAAGCGCAGCGCATATTGAGTGTCACCCATGGACACGATCATCGGCTGCTCGTCGACCAGCTGCGTCCGCTCATGCTGCAGGCCCGGCACGAGATGACCTGAGTTGAGCTTTGTTGTTTGTGTTTTATGTTTATGTTTAACTTCAACATCACCATCAACTTACTGTATTTGTTTATTTCAATTAAAGCGTAGGCTAAATGTAAAATAATTTTATTGCTGCATTTAGACAATCTGCGCTATGGCCTTGGCGCGTTGATCCGTGTCCATGTAGCGCGCACGTATTAACTGCTTTACCTCGCCGGCATGATAGTTGGCCGTCAGCGGACCGACACCGTCGCACCAGAGTTCGCTGAACTCCTTCAGCAATGCGTTCATCATGATCTTGAGTTGCTGCAGCTTAAGCCAGGAGCGCACATGCACCACATCGTTCTTGTCGTGGAAGAGGAGTGGCGCCTTCTTCAGCACCTCATCGATCAAATCGCTCAGATCGCGTCTCATACTGCATGTAATGTCGTCCAGACTGAAAACGCGCTGCACCAGCTCATTGATAAAGGCTTGGAGCAGCTCACAAAAACTGTTATTGTACACATTCTCCGGCAGCACCTGCTGCCACACGTTCTTCAGCAGCTCCAGTTGCCGCAGGCACTGACGCACCACTTTCAACGGTGCCACCGATGTGTGCCGATTCTTGAACTCTTTAAATACATATATCGCAAGAAGCAGAATAAGCCAACGGAAGAAATAAAGTTTCTTACTATTTAAACATAAGAAAAGAGCTCACCAAAGCTACTCATGATATCCATGAGTATGGACTGCTGACAGTCAACTTGAACGCGCAGATGCTTGTTGCCTGTCGATTGTAGTATTTTGACCAGCGATGGGAAGTCACCGATATTGTCTTTGGTATGCTGGGCCACCCAGTGGGCTAGGTACATGCAATTGTTGTAAAATAGGGCCGATTGCTGTGGCATGCTCTTCAACAGCTTCTTGTGCACTTTGGGCACCTCATTGATGTACACGTTCAACAGAAGCCCAATGACGCCACCCAATGGATTCGGTGTGCCCTCCGCAGCTTTATCTGACTGGCGCAGCACACGCTCCATTAGCTCGACAAAATCCTGGAAGACGAATACAAATATCAATTAAAAAGCGTTAGATATACAATAATCTGTTGGAGCTCTTACTTGTGCGCTCTTGGAGACCATGCAGCGTGGAAATAGCAACGGATCACTGGCCACATTAGCGGACAGATTGCTGGGGGCCACCAGCGTCATGTCCTGCAGATCGCGCTGGATTATCTCACGTGCGGTGTCAAATTGCTCGGTGGACTCGCTCTGCGTTGTGTCCAGGTCGGGATTGATGAGAAACGTGTCCGGAGATGTACGATGTGGCAGCGTTGTCGAAGTCTTCCGCTCGTCAATGGCGGCAAGAATTTTGTCCGGTTCGAGGATGCCGGATGGGCGCACCACTTGCAGCAGATCCTTGTTATCAATCAACGGCAGTCGGATAAGGGAGGCAACGGTTTTGATATCAACATCGTGATTATAGCAATTCCAATTCCACACACCCATAAAGATTTTCACCTCTGGTGCAAAGAAGCTATCACGGCGCAGCACTTCCTCCAGCGATTCCTGAACGAATGCGTATTTTAATATTATTAATGTAGTCTCCACTTTCCACACGCAAAAACTCTTACCCTTGAGAGCATCTTAAAGGTATCATGCTGTAGGAGATCCTCTGCATTGCGGTCCATGAACATGAGGCACACTTGCGTTAGCTCATCGAGATTGTAAAGACGTGCTGCGTCCAGTATCATGCAGACGTTATTCAATGCCAGAGACTGACGCAAATATTTGGAAATGGCCATTTCCAGGTCCTGAAAGCCGAATTGATTGGCCATGCCCAAGGCATCGATGACGGCGTCCTCATCCAACGTGGCCAGCTTGAGGATGCCCGAGTAGATGTAGCGCAATAGCACCTTAAACGGAACCAGTGGCACTTCTAACGAAATTTGCCGTTGTGTTCCCTCCGACATGCCGCCGTACAGTAACGCTCGAAAGTATTTGCTGCGTGCGGCGAGAATGGCGCGATGCGCCGGCAAGCGTTGCTCCTCGACAATGAACTCAACATCCGCATAGCGATCGTTCATGCAGAGGCGGGCAATGTCCGCTGAGCAGCGATCGCCCAGGTCGATTTCATCTGTGTATTCCGTGGGGGAGTCTGTATTGCTTTTAACGCTGGCCAATTTTGCCAGGCTGCCGCCGCCACATCCGTGCATCTTATGATGCCCTTGACTGCTCATTGCGCTTACTGTTCCGATTATTAATGCATTTGTGCAATTGGAATTGAAAAATGTAAAATGTGCGATTTAAGTCATGATTTATTTAGCAAGTTGTTCGGTTTGCAACTCACCCACTTGTTTAATTAATTAGCGGCAGAGTTTTGGTGTGTCGTCGTTTGCTTAAAAATTTATTTCTTTTTGTTGTGTTTTAACTTTTACGGTTACGGTTAACCCGTTGGACACAATGGATTATTTGTCAATCCACTTACTTTTTGGCGCTGGTGTTTCCTGAATGTAGTCGACTGTCTAATAATTAAGTAAGTACGTAGATTTCCTTAGGCTGCCTTATTATTAGGATTTTCTGCATATGACTAGTCGAGTCCAAAGTCTGCAATATGCCAAGTCTTCTGCTGATAGCAAGTTAACTCTAAATATATATATATAATACAGTAAATATATTACTATTGTTTATATGCCACTTTTCGGCCATTTTTACTCGTCGATTTGGCCTATATTAGTAATCGATAGTTGGTAGCAGGTATGGCAATTAATATCGTTGCAATGCGATAGACACCTATCGACTATCAACTCTCATCTCTAACCGACTCTTTTCGTGCTGCGGAGACAATCTGCAAACTCGTGGCGAAGTTGTGCATTAAACTTTCGTTGTCAATTTGCTCAACAAGAAAAGGTTAATAAACGCGAACGAAGATCTTTTGCAGCTGCAAAACAATATATCAGTTTACATTTATCAATTCCAGATGCCTGGCGTTGAAACAATAAAATCTAGTTGGGCCGACGAGGTGAAGCTGGACTACGGCGGCCTGCCACCAACAACGGAAGCGGTTGAGAACGGCCACAAATATGTTACCGAATACAAATACAATAAGGACGATAAGAAAACGAAAGTGGTGCGAACGTACCAAACAGGTGGTGCCAAAAACTGTTGCCAAGCGCCGCACCTGGTCCAACTTTGGTGAATCAAAAAATGACAAGCCCGGCCCCAATTCGCAGACAACAATGGAATCTGAGGAGATAATCATGCAGTTCTGAACTCCAAGGAGGACGAGAAGGCCAACGATCCGCTGCTGCATTCCACAAGGAATATTGCCAAGTGTCGTATTTGCAACGGCGAACATTGGTCGGTCAATTGTCCCTTCAAAGGCACCGCCATGGATACGAATCTTATGGAGAAGGCCGCTGCCGCTGCCTCCGCGGCCGTCGATGCGCCCAAGTCCGGTAAATATGTGCAGCCGTTCCTCAAGGACAGCCAAAAGGGTGGGTTAGGCATGCGTGGACGCGACGACACCGCAGCTATCCGCATCTCCAAGTCGATGACCGAGGTGGATCTAGAGGAACTGGTGAAAAAGATTGGTCCTCAGAGCAAAATGTACCTGGCCCGCGATAAGAACACCGGTCTTTGCAAGGGCTTCGCCTACGTTCACTTCAAACAGCGCAAGGATGCGGCCGCGGCCATCGAAATACTAAATGGTCACGGCTACGACCACTTGATCCTCAGCGTTGAATGGTCCAAGCCGCAGAACAATTAGATCACATAGCGTGTGGGTGTGATTACTATCGAGAGGATTTCAACTTTAATTGAAAAAGTACATTGTAAAACGCTTTTAATTATTTTTTGTTTGTTTGATAATTCCTGTCTTGGGGGAACCTGGTATTAGAGCTAAATAAAGGTTTCCTAAACTATGTAAAATAAAACAAAAATAAAAGGCTTGTCGGAGCTCCCAAAACGATTTCGAGTTCCTTGTGCCACATCCTTTATTTATGGACAAGACAGCGTTCTCTGACAGCGTTGCCACCTTTATTTAAATTTTGAAACGTATGAACTTAAACAGAAAAGAAAATAATAGCTGGCTTACGCACAAAACGCAGTCAGTGGCATGTGACGTCACGAGTGTGCCGACGAATTGGAGAGGCGCTCTCTCAGCGTTGCCAGCGCGGAAAAGCAACAATCGCTGCGCGCTCCGGCTATGACTAAAGAAAATATTTACATGTATCTTGTTTTTTTTTTACACAGAAATCTATTTTTTCCCACCTTTTTTCAGTTCATTTTTTATGCCGGAATAACACTAATTTTGTATTTAATTTGTTGTTTGCTTTTTTTTTTTAAAGAGCATATGTGATATGTAAGTAATTTAAATGTTTGTGTAAATAACACGAATATTAACTCGAATAGATTAATTTGCTAAATGTGCTCAGATGAAAGAAGTGCACTCAGGTTTTGACAGTTGTGTTTCGAGATAGGGTAGCACTGAGTGCGACCAAAGTGGCTGGTTTTGTTTATGTGTGTTTTGCTTGCGTAAATTGAATTTTGTTTTTGTTTTTGTGCGCCGCGTGCTAAATATAGAAATAGATGCCGCAAAAACATTTAAATTTGAAATATATGAAAATGCAACTATATTTCTAGTTGATTGGCAGGTGTGTTTTGCTTGTTTGTGCGCTCTCATTATGCTCCAAGCAGTGGTCGCAATGGAATCGTTGCCCACATCCTTAACCACCAAAGAATCCAAAGAATGTCTCACAATAAAGCGTGGCACGCGCATTCTCAGCGAGAAACCCTTCGCCTACGTTCTCAAGTCGCAGTATCGTTTGGAGCGCTGTGACAATTGCCTGGAGGCGTAAGTAGCGCCGTTGGGCTGGCTATCAATGTCAATCTGTATATGAATATGTTGCACGCTGTGTTGCAGGGTGCAGAAGGTGCGCAAGTGCTCGAATTGCCGTTATGTGTCCTACTGCAATCGCACCTGTCAGCAACAGGCGTGGCCGCTGCACAAGCACGAGTGCCCCTTCCTCAAGCGCGTCCAGCCGCGAATTGTGCCCGATGCGGCCCGCATGCTCTGCCGGCTCATCTTGCGCCTGGAGCACGGCGGAGATCTGGAACGCGGCTACTACACAGAGCATGGCTCACGCAAGTTTCGTGATCTAATGTCGCGTGAGTAACGCATATATATATATATATATCGATAAATAAGAATCAATTGCAGACTATGCGGAGATTAAGAACGACCCGAAGCGACGGGAGCATTTAGAATCGTTGCACGCGGTGCTAACGGACATGATTAGCGACAGCAACAGTGGCAGCAGCAGCATAGTGCCCAACATTACCGAACTGATGAGCATTTATGGCCGTGTAAGTGGCAAATGAACCAATGGCGAATCCCAAAGTCAAGCGAAGTTGGCATTTTTTGTGAGAGATCGTGGACTTATACGCTCCTTAGTTCTACTCATTCAAGCCAAGTCTCTCCGTTAATATATTTATATATATGGATCTGTATGTCGTCAATCTTCAATCTGCAATCGGGGGAATTCCCCAAGCCCTTGTAAATCAGAACAAACGCAAAGAAGAAGAAGAATGTATATGTTTTTGGCACAGATTAATGCTGGCTGCTCGTTTGCCTGCCTGTTGGGCACGCTGCCAGAGGCTGCCCCAACTAGCAGCTGCAGCCAGCTGTGACAATATATAAATATGCGATTGCCACCTGACCTGCTCAATTTTACAATTGCAGCTCATTACGAACGGCTTCAATATACTGGATGCGGAGATGAACTCAATAGCGACTGCCATTTATTTGGGCGTATCCATAACGGATCACAGTTGCCAGCCGAATGCGGTTGCCACCTTTGAGGGTAACGAGCTGCATGTGCATGTCATTGAGGATTTGCCATGCTTGGACTGGTCAAAGATCTACATTAGCTACATCGATCTGCTCAATACGCCGGAGCAGCGGCGTGCCGATCTCAGGGAGCATTATTATTTTTTGTGCGTGTGCAGCAAGTGCATTGATCCCCAGGAGATGCACGAAATGACCGCCGCCGTCTGCCCCAACGCCAGCTGCGATGCCAGCGTCAACATTGAGCTGGCCAAGTGCCAGCAATGCGATGCCAGTGTAACGCCCCAACTTCGCACCGCCTACAATGATATTATGGCGTTCACGCAGAGCAGCCTGGACAGCATGAAGGAGGTGGCCTGTAAGTGATCCCCTAAAAGCTGTATTTTGTCATTTATTCAACATTCCAATTTGCATTTATTTATTTTTTCTACCGGTTGCAGATTTGGATGTGTGCAATGTGTGTTTGGAGAAGCAGCGAGGCGTGCTACATCCGCTGAATGTGTGGCATGTGAAGACACTCGATGCGGCTTTTGAGGCCGCCATTAATGTGGGCAAATGGACGGATGCACTGGCATTTGGACAGCAACTGTTGCCGGGCTTTGGCAAATATCATGGCGCATGGAACCCGCTGGTTGGTTTGCTGCACATGAAGCTGGGCAAGATTCAGCTGTACGAGCGCAACTACAAGCTGGCCGTGCATCATCTGCAGGAAGCGCAGCGCATATTGAGTGTCACCCATGGACACGATCATCGGTTGCTCGTCGACCAGCTGCGTCCGCTCATGCTGCAGGCCCGGCACGAGATGACCTGAGTTGAGCTTTGTTGTTTGTGTTTTATGTTTATGTTTAACTTCAACATCACCATCAACTTACTGTATTTGTTTATTTCAATTAAAGCGTAGGCTAAATGTAAAATAATTTTATTGCTGCATTTAGACAATCTGCGCTATGGCCTTGGCGCGTTGATCCGTGTCCATGTAGCGCGCACGTATTAACTGCTTTACCTCGCCGGCATGATAGTTGGCCGTCAGCGGACCGACACCGTCGCACCAGAGTTCGCTGAACTCCTTCAGCAATGCGTTCATCATGATTTTGAGTTGCTGCAGCTTAAGCCAGGAGCGCACATGCACCACATCGTTCTTGTCGTGGAAGAGGAGTGGCGCCTTCTTCAGCACCTCATCGATCAAATCGCTCAGATCGCGTCTCATACTGCATGTAATGTCGTCCAGACTGAAAACGCGCTGCACCAGCTCATTGATAAAGGCTTGGAGCAGCTCACAAAAACTGTTATTGTACACATTCTCCGGCAGCACCTGCTGCCACACGTTCTTCAGCAGCTCCAGTTGCCGCAGGCACTGACGCACCACTTTCAACGGTGCCACCGATGTGTGCCGATTCTTGAACTCTTTAAATACATATATCGCAAGAAGCAGAATAAGCCAACGGAAGAAATAAAGTTTCTTACTATTTAAACATAAGAAAAGAGCTCACCAAAGCTACTCATGATATCCATGAGTATGGACTGCTGACAGTCAACTTGAACGCGCAGATGCTTGTTGCCTGTCGATTGTAGTATTTTGACCAGCGATGGGAAGTCACCGATATTGTCTTTGGTATGCTGGGCCACCCAGTGGGCTAGGTACATGCAATTGTTGTAAAATAGGGCCGATTGCTGTGGGATGCTCTTCAACAGCTTCTTGTGCACTTTGGGCACCTCATTGATGTACACGTTCAACAGAAGCCCAATGACGCCACCCAATGGATTCGGTGTGCCCTCCGCAGCTTTATCTGACTGGCGCAGCACACGCTCCATTAGCTCGACAAAATCCTGGAAGACGAATACAAATATCAATTAAAAAGCGTTAGATATACAATAATCTGTTGGAGCTCTTACTTGTGCGCTCTTGGAGACCATGCAGCGTGGAAATAGCAACGGATCACTGGCCACATTAGCGGACAGATTGCTGGGGGCCACCAGCGTCATGTCCTGCAGATCGCGCTGGATTATCTCACGTGCGGTGTCAAATTGCTCGGTGGACTCGCTCTGCGTTGTGTCCAGGTCGGGATTGATGAGAAACGTGTCCGGAGATGTACGATGTGGCAGCGTTGTCGAAGTCTTCCGCTCGTCAATGGCGGCAAGAATTTTGTCCGGTTCGAGGATGCCGGATGGGCGCACCACTTGCAGCAGATCCTTGTTATCAATCAACGGCAGTCGGATAAGGGAGGCAACGGTTTTGATATCAACATCGTGATTATAGCAATTCCAATTCCACACACCCATAAAGATTTTCACCTCTGGTGCAAAGAAGCTATCACGGCGCAGCACTTCCTCCAGCGATTCCTGAACGAATGCGTATTTTAATATTATTAATGTAGTCTCCACTTTCCACACGCAAAAACTCTTACCCTTGAGAGCATCTTAAAGGTATCATGCTGTAGGAGATCCTCTGCATTGCGGTCCATGAACATGAGGCACACTTGCGTTAGCTCATCGAGATTGTAAAGACGTGCTGCGTCCAGTATCATGCAGACGTTATTCAATGCCAGAGACTGACGCAAATATTTGGAAATGGCCATTTCCAGGTCCTGAAAGCCGAATTGATTGGCCATGCCCAAGGCATCGATGACGGCGTCCTCATCCAACGTGGCCAGCTTGAGGATGCCCGAGTAGATGTAGCGCAATAGCACCTTAAACGGAACCAGTGGCACTTCTAACGAAATTTGCCGTTGTGTTCCCTCCGACATGCCGCCGTACAGTAACGCTCGAAAGTATTTGCTGCGTGCGGCGAGAATGGCGCGATGCGCCGGCAAGCGTTGCTCCTCGACAATGAACTCAACATCCGCATAGCGATCGTTCATGCAGAGGCGGGCAATGTCCGCTGAGCAGCGATCGCCCAGGTCGATTTCATCTGTGTATTCCGTGGGGGAGTCTGTATTGCTTTTAACGCTGGCCAATTTTGCCAGGCTGCCGCCGCCACATCCGTGCATCTTGTGATGCCCTTGACTGCTCATTGCGCTTACTGTTCCGATTATTAATGCATTTGTGCAATTGGAATTGAAAAATGTAAAATGTGCGATTTAAGTCATGATTTATTTAGCAAGTTGTTCGGTTTGCAACTCACCCACTTGTTTAATTAATTAGCGGCAGAGTTTTGGTGTGTCGTCGTTTGCTTAAAAATTTATTTCTTTTTGTTGTGTTTTAACTTTTACGGTTACGGTTAACCCGTTGGACACAATGGATTATTTGTCAATCCACTTACTTTTTGGCGCTGGTGTTTCCTGAATGTAGTCGACTGTCTAATAATTAAGTAAGTACGTAGATTTCCTTAGGCTGCCTTATTATTAGGATTTTCTGCATATGACTAGTCGAGTCCAAAGTCTGCAATATGCCAAGTCTTCTGCTGATAGCAAGTTAACTCTAAATATATATATATAATACAGTAAATATATTACTATTGTTTATATGCCACTTTTCGGCCATTTTTACTCGTCGATTTGGCCTATATTAGTAATCGATAGTTGGTAGCAGGTATGGCAATTAATATCGTTGCAATGCGATAGACACCTATCGACTATCAACTCTCATCTCTAACCGACTCTTTTCGTGCTGCGGAGACAATCTGCAAACTCGTGGCGAAGTTGTGCATTAAACTTTCGTTGTCAATTTGCTCAACAAGAAAAGGTTAATAAACGCGAACGAAGATCTTTTGCAGCTGCAAAACAATATATCAGTTTACATTTATCAATTCCAGATGCCTGGCGTTGAAACAATAAAATCTAGTTGGGCCGACGAGGTGAAGCTGGACTACGGCGGCCTGCCACCAACAACGGAAGCGGTTGAGAACGGCCACAAATATGTTACCGAATACAAATACAATAAGGACGATAAGAAAACGAAAGTGGTGCGAACGTACCAAACAGGTGGTGCCAAAAACTGTTGCCAAGCGCCGCACCTGGTCCAACTTTGGTGAATCAAAAAATGACAAGCCCGGCCCCAATTCGCAGACAACAATGGAATCTGAGGAGATAATCATGCAGTTCTGAACTCCAAGGAGGACGAGAAGGCCAACGATCCGCTGCTGCATTCCACAAGGAATATTGCCAAGTGTCGTATTTGCAACGGCGAACATTGGTCGGTCAATTGTCCATACAAAGGCACCGCCATGGATACGAATCTTATGGAGAAGAAGGCCGCTGCCGCTGCCTCCGCGGCCGTCGATGCGCCCAAGTCCGGTAAATATGTGCCGCCGTTCCTCAAGGACAGCCAAAAGGGTGGGTTAGGCATGCGTGGACGCGACGACACCGCAGCTATCCGCATCTCCAACTTGTCCGAGTCGATGACCGAGGTGGATCTAGAGGAACTGGTGAAAAAGATTGGTCCTCAGAGCAAAATGTACCTGGCCCGCGATAAGAACACCGGTCTTTGCAAGGGCTTCGCCTACGTTCACTTCAAACAGCGCAAGGATGCGGCCGCGGCCATCGAAATACTAAATGGTCACGGCTACGACCACTTGATCCTCAGCGTTGAATGGTCCAAGCCGCAGAACAATTAGATCACATAGCGTGTGGGTGTGATTACTATCGAGAGGATTTCAACTTTAATTGAAAAAGTACATTGTAAAACGCTTTTAATTATTTTTTGTTTGTTTGATAATTCCTGTCTTGGGGGAACCTGGTATTAGAGCTAAATAAAGGTTTCCTAAACTATGTAAAATAAAACAAAAATAAAAGGCTTGTCGGAGCTCCCAAAACGATTTCGAGTTCCTTGTGCCACATCCTTTATTTATGGACAAGACAGCGTTCTCTGACAGCGTTGCCACCTTTATTTAAATTTTGAACCGACGAATTGGAGAGGCGCTCTCTCAGCGTTGCCAGCGCGGAAAAGCAACAATCGCTGCGCGCTCCGGCTATGACTAAAGAAAATATTTACATGTATCTTGTTTTTTTTTTACACAGAAATCTATTTTTTCCCACCTTTTTTCAGTTCATTTTTTATGCCGGAATAACACTAATTTTGTATTTAATTTGTTGTTTGCTTTTTTTTTTTAAAGAGCATATGTGATATGTAAGTAATTTAAATGTTTGTGTAAATAACACGAATATTAACTCGAATAGATTAATTTGCTAAATGTGCTCAGATGAAAGAAGTGCACTCAGGTTTTGACAGTTGTGTTTCGAGATAGGGTAGCACTGAGTGCGACCAAAGTGGCTGGTTTTGTTTATGTGTGTTTTGCTTGCGTAAATTGAATTTTGTTTTTGTTTTTGTGCGCCGCGTGCTAAATATAGAAATAGATGCCGCAAAAACATTTAAATTTGAAATATATGAAAATGCAACTATATTTCTAGTTGATTGGCAGGTGTGTTTTGCTTGTTTGTGCGCTCTCATTATGCTCCAAGCAGTGGTCGCAATGGAATCGTTGCCCACATCCTTAACCACCAAAGAATCCAAAGAATGTCTCACAATAAAGCGTGGCACGCGCATTCTCAGCGAGAAACCCTTCGCCTACGTTCTCAAGTCGCAGTATCGTTTGGAGCGCTGTGACAATTGCCTGGAGGCGTAAGTAGCGCCGTTGGGCTGGCTATCAATGTCAATCTGTATATGAATATGTTGCACGCTGTGTTGCAGGGTGCAGAAGGTGCGCAAGTGCTCGAATTGCCGTTATGTGTCCTACTGCAATCGCACCTGTCAGCAACAGGCGTGGCCGCTGCACAAGCACGAGTGCCCCTTCCTCAAGCGCGTCCAGCCGCGAATTGTGCCCGATGCGGCCCGCATGCTCTGCCGGCTCATCTTGCGCCTGGAGCACGGCGGAGATCTGGAACGCGGCTACTACACAGAGCATGGCTCACGCAAGTTTCGTGATCTAATGTCGCGTGAGTAACGCATATATATATATATATATCGATAAATAAGAATCAATTGCAGACTATGCGGAGATTAAGAACGACCCGAAGCGACGGGAGCATTTAGAATCGTTGCACGCGGTGCTAACGGACATGATTAGCGACAGCAACAGTGGCAGCAGCAGCATAGTGCCCAACATTACCGAACTGATGAGCATTTATGGCCGTGTAAGTGGCAAATGAACCAATGGCGAATCCCAAAGTCAAGCGAAGTTGGCATTTTTTGTGAGAGATCGTGGACTTATACGCTCCTTAGTTCTACTCATTCAAGCCAAGTCTCTCCGTTAATATATTTATATATATGGATCTGTATGTCGTCAATCTTCAATCTGCAATCGGGGGAATTCCCCAAGCCCTTGTAAATCAGAACAAACGCAAAGAAGAAGAAGAATGTATATGTTTTTGGCACAGATTAATGCTGGCTGCTCGTTTGCCTGCCTGTTGGGCACGCTGCCAGAGGCTGCCCCAACTAGCAGCTGCAGCCAGCTGTGACAATATATAAATATGCGATTGCCACCTGACCTGCTCAATTTTACAATTGCAGCTCATTACGAACGGCTTCAATATACTGGATGCGGAGATGAACTCAATAGCGACTGCCATTTATTTGGGCGTATCCATAACGGATCACAGTTGCCAGCCGAATGCGGTTGCCACCTTTGAGGGTAACGAGCTGCATGTGCATGTCATTGAGGATTTGCCATGCTTGGACTGGTCAAAGATCTACATTAGCTACATCGATCTGCTCAATACGCCGGAGCAGCGGCGTGCCGATCTCAGGGAGCATTATTATTTTTTGTGCGTGTGCAGCAAGTGCATTGATCCCCAGGAGATGCACGAAATGACCGCCGCCGTCTGCCCCAACGCCAGCTGCGATGCCAGCGTCAACATTGAGCTGGCCAAGTGCCAGCAATGCGATGCCAGTGTAACGCCCCAACTTCGCACCGCCTACAATGATATTATGGCGTTCACGCAGAGCAGCCTGGACAGCATGAAGGAGGTGGCCTGTAAGTGATCCCCTAAAAGCTGTATTTTGTCATTTATTCAACATTCCAATTTGCATTTATTTATTTTTTCTACCGGTTGCCGATTTGGATGTGTGCAATGTGTGTTTGGAGAAGCAGCGAGGCGTGCTACATCCGCTGAATGTGTGGCATGTGAAGACACTCGATGCGGCTTTTGAGGCCGCCATTAATGTGGGCAAATGGACGGATGCACTGGCATTTGGACAGCAACTGTTGCCGGGCTTTGGCAAATATCATGGCGCATGGAACCCGCTGGTTGGTTTGCTGTACATGAAGCTGGGCAAGATTCAGCTGTACGAGCGCAACTACAAGCTGGCCGTGCATCATCTGCAGGAAGCGCAGTGCATATTGAGTGTCACCCATGGACACGATCATCGGCTGCTCGTCGACCAGCTGCGTCCGCTCATGCTGCAGGCCCGGCACGAGATGACCTGAGTTGAGCTTTGTTGTTTGTGTTTTATGTTTATGTTTAACTTCAACATCACCATCAACTTACTGTATTTGTTTATTTCAATTAAAGCGTAGACTAAATGTAAAATAATTTTATTGCTGCATTTAGACAATCTGCGTTATGGCCTTGGCGCGTCGATCCGTGTCCTGGAAGAGCGCACGTATTAAATGCTTTATCTCGCCGGCATGATAGTTGGCCGTCAGCGGGCCGACACCGTCACACCAGAGTTCGCTGAACTCCTTCAGCGATGCGTTCATCATGATCTTGAGTTGCTGCAGCTTAAGCCAGGAGCGCACATGCACCACATCGTTCTTGTCGTGGAAGAGAAGCGGCGCCTTTTCCAGCACTACATCGATCAAATCGCTCAGCTCGCTGGCCATCGTCGCTGAAATGTCGCGCAGACTGAAAACGCGCTGCACCAGCTCATTGATAAAGGCTTGGAGCAGCTCACAAAAACTGTTATTGTACACATTCTCCGGCAGCACCTGCTGCCACACGTTCTTCAGCAGCTCCAGTTGCCGCAGGCACTGACGCACCAGTCTCAACGGTGCCGTACCCAACGTGTGCGGATTCTCAAACTCTTTAAATATATATATTGCAAGAAGCAGAATAATGAGAATAAGCCAACAGAAGAAATAAAGTTTCTTACTATTTAAACATAAGAAAAGAGCTCACCAAAGCTACTCATGATATCCATGAGTATGGACTCCTGATAGCTAACTTGAACGCGCAGATGCTTGTTGCCTGTCGATTGTAGTATTTTGACCAGCGATGGGAAGCCATCGATATTGTCTTTAGTATGCTGGGCCACCCAGTGGGTTAGGTACATGCAATTGTTGTAAAATAGAGCCGATTGCTGTGGGATGCTCTTCAACAGCTTCTTGTGCACTTTGGGCACCTCATTGATGTACGCGTCCAACAGAAGCCCGATGACGCCACCCAGTGGATCCGGTGTGCCCTCCGCAGCTTTATCTGGCTGGCGCAGCACACGCTCCATTAGCTTGACAAAATCCTGGAAGACGAATGCAAATATCAAATAAAAAGCGTTAAATATACAATAATCTGTTGGATCTCTTACTTGTGCGCTCTTGGAGACCATGCAGCGTGGAAATAGCAACGGATCACTGGCCACATTAGCCGACAGATTGCTGGGGGCCACCAGCGTCATGTCCTGCAGATCGCGCTGGATTATCTCACGTGCGGTTGCCAGAACCCGTTCAGAGAGTCGATTGCGATAGTAGGTGTCGAATTGCTTGGTAAACTCGCTCAGCGTTGTGTCCAGCTCGGGATTGATGAGAAACGTGTCGGCTAACTGATGCTCGAATTCGGCAACATCTTCGCATAGTGTGGAGCTGTTATACTCATCCATAGTCTCCGGCACCGCCGGTATGAGGCATTCATCGAGGAGTAACTGCAGCATGCGCTCCTTGACATGATCGCCAATAACGGTGAACACATGCTGTGTGCCATTCAGACTGCTATTGATGCCGCACAACGTCTTTAGCAGCAGGCGGAAGTGCTCAAACACGTCCTTATAGTTGGGACGCAATAGCGACGATGTGTCCGGCTCTTTGATGGAGTAGGAAAGCGTTAACTGTATGTGGCTACCATCCTTGGCATTCACGTTGTACTCGACAGAGACAGGCTTCTGGATTAGCGGCTCGATGCAGTTCTCTAGCAGAAAGGCGCACAGCTTGGTGGGATTGTAGCTCTCCTGGAAGAGCGCAATCACAATGTCCTGCAGCAACGCCTCGTCTTTGCTGATCAACAGCGTCACACACTTGGATGTGGGAAATGATTTGCAGCTCAATTGTACGAGACGATCGAAGCGCTCCTGCAGATTCTGTTGCAACAAGTGCGCCTGAACGTGGTACTTCACCTTGATGGACTCGTAGCACTCCAGCGACTGAAAGATGCGCTCCACATCTGGTGAGATGTCATCGCTTGTACCCTCGCCGTAGATCAGACTGCGCAGCCTGCCCATTAGATCAAGCACCACCAAACAATCCTTGGTCGCCTTGGCTTCCTCGACGCACTGGAACAGATCGTCCAGCTTCAGTATGTGCTCGCTAACACGCAAACCGAACAATTTCTCGCGTAGATCGCGACTCAACGCTGCCAGCTCAACGCTGGCATCACTTAATACGGAAAGGCCCTCGTTGCCAACAGTGGCAAGCAGATCGCTAATCTCGTCACCCAATGCACTCGACTTTTCCAGAAAAATGTCCGGCGATGTGTGATTGGGCATAAAATCGACATAGTTTTCATCTATATGCTTGCGTACGCGCGTTTGAAAGCGTTCGATGCGTACCAGCATTTTTTTTATTGCTGCCTTTGTGGCTTCAATGTTGGTGGCATTATTGTTGCCTTGCCCCTGGTAGGTCTCCAGCAGCACCTGCGTTTCGGCCATTGTAGCTTGCGAGCGGTTTTTTTATCTTGAAATTTGAAAAGAAATTTGGTGCGCATACAAGTCACAACGACAGCGCTTGCCAATTTCATGAATTTATCGATAACAATGCGATTAACATTGAATGATCGAAATTGCATATTGATTATACGATAGTTGGGCTGTATTATGCACTGCATAAATTAAAAATTAAAATACCTACACATTATTGAAAATTGTGCAGTCACAATAACAAAACATTGCCGTATCGAATTTTCTTCATTTATGATTTAATGTTTCAGCACTGGCTATTATGGGATCTAAACCTAAATACACATAGGACATTTCCATCAAGAATCGACTCAATTTGGCTGGTCTTAGGAACACGTAGAACACAGATAAAAAAAAAAACTTGTGATAGCCGCCAGAGAGTAACGTCATTGATCACCAATCATTTAACTTGCTCTACTTTTTTAACTTGTATTTTAACACAAATTCAGTAGATTATTAAGGTCTAGAAATTGAGATAAATAATTTAATAGGCGATTTTTTGTAATATTGGCAACTATTTTTTTAATATACCATATTCCACATTTTTCAAAACTCTTTACAACTGTTTAATAGTAATCATTAAAGTAAAATTTTAAAGTTTTGTGGAGAATACTAGAAATAAGAATTATTAGCGAATATAAACCATTTTTTATTTTTTAGTTTATATTTTAAGGTGAGCGTAATAATAAATTTTTTATCGAATAACATTTGATTGCACTAGTTTTGGTTATTATTTGTATATTTTACTTTATGTTGTTGAACACGTAATCTAAATCTTTAGATGATTCTACGTCAAATAGTATATGGTTATGGTACAATAGAGTCGTGGTGTCGGATCAGTATCTAAAGAGTGTATTCCATTTAATGTGGTTGTGATATTCTTCGTTCTACTTTACTTTATTTGTTTATATAAATTGTACACATTATTTGCTTAACACGATAGCCGCATCTTAAAGGACAATCTATGATAGACGTGGGCGTGGCAGATTCACAACTAAAGCATAATTCGTACACAGTTAGTACATTTAATGCAAGACTTGACTCGAAACGGAATTTTGCTTTGATTTCTTTTGTTTAGCTTGTTAAAATACGCATCTAAATTTTACTAATGGTTAACCTTGCAAACGCACGTTGCCTGTTGGCCTGCAGTTTGCGTTTCTTTGGGCACAGCTAGGAGGCACTCGATTCGTTTGCAATGCTCATCATGTCCGCATCGATGTTCTTCAGCGCATTGTGATATTCTGTGATCTCGAGTGCCTCCCATTCGGCCTTGAATGCCGCCTTGGGATCTTGGGGCATGGTCATCGCGGCACCAGTCATTGCATCCGCCTGTGCTTGGGTCTGGTCCGCATGGTTATTCTCGCCCAGCACTAGGGTGTAAATGGAGCGCAAGCCAAACACGTTCAAGAAATACCATGATGCTGAGGACACCCAGGCGGCGTCCAGTGAGGCCAACTCCACGCCGCGTTGCAGCATTGGCTTGAAGCGCAGGGTGAGTGGGAATGGTACTTTGGTTGTCACAAAACCGGAGAACATCCAATTAATCCAGCCACCAATAACGACCATGGGCAGCACATTAATAAAATTGCCCTTTACCATGTCCGTCAGCATAGCCGAAGAGTTTTGGGCGACCGGAGCGCGTTTCTGGGTCTTGAAATAGCCCGTCTCCTCGTTATTGAAGAAGTTCTTTCGCATGGAAAAGGACTGGGCACTCAGATATTTACCATTCTCTCGCAGCAAACGAGCACGAATCATGGCTTGACTGTGACCACAAAATATAACAAAAACAATTTCAACATTTTAAATACAATTTTCATAATTATCATATGAACTTCGTTCACCTGTCCATGATTTGGGTCATCTCAGCCTTCTTCTGTGTCGATATCAGAATGGATACGTAATGGCGCACGATGCCGACCAGAAATGTGATAAGCACGATGGGTAAAAACACCCAAACGCGTATGTCGGGATCTATAAGCAGCTCCGTCATAATTAACTTATTAATTAAAATATGTTTTCTACAAATACATTTCGCACCCGCAGAAGACTGTCCGGTGCTAGAGATGGTCGAATATTGAGCATGTGAATTATCGCTTTAATTAAGTAACGATGACAGACAACTATCGATTCACAGAATGACTAAGTATATAATTGGAGTCCAATTTTTGTTGGTTTCAATTCAATTAATTAAACGCAAATTAAATATTAAAGTTAAAGTTAAGTTAAAATAGGCTTACATTTCAACCAAATGTGAAACCAGCTTTCAATATCGATAATTTTTTCAGGTGCATTCGTGGACATATCGACAGCTTTGGCGATTGTCTCAATTGAAGTAGCTGCAATATGTCTTATAAAAATAGACGGAATATAGGCAATTACATATATTTCTATTTGATTGTTGGTATTATTATTCCTAAAACAGTTACAGCGATAGAGCCAATAAGCATTGGTGTTTTGGGCACCTCTATTGGATTAGGCTATTTGATGAGTCAAAACTATTGTCGGTTTTATGAGTGCTGCGATAACCGAAGCATTCCGGCTGACATGAACAGTAAGTTATTGATTTAATTTTTGGTGTCAACCACCAGTGACAAATCCATTCCACAGAGCTACATCACTCGCTGTCTACAACTCTCTTTGGACAGCATATGGTGAGTCAGCACGTTCTTCCCGCTCTCGTTGCTCATCTGAAGTCAAACAGCCCGTCTCGTAAGTCGCTTGTGATGAGTTTCCATGGGACGCCAGGCACCGGCAAGAGCTTTGTTGCTGATCAAATAGCGGAAGCGCTTTACCTGGAAGGTACCAAAAGCAAATTCGTTCACAAGTATTTGGGTCGAGCGGATTTCGCGCATCCCGCCCGCGTACATGAGTATAAGAATCGCATAAATAAAGAGGTGCGTGAAAGCATACGGGATTGTCCACGTTCACTGTTTATATTCGATGAGGTGGACAAAATGCCGATTGGCATCTTCGATACGCTGACATCTTTGGTGGACTATGCGGGCAATGGCGGTGACATTGACTATACCAAAGCCATTTTCATATTTCTGTCCAATACAGCGGGCATACGGATTTCAGATCATCTGGCCGATCTAATGAAAAAGGGCACACGGCGTGAGAACACACGACTGTCCGACTTTGAGGAGATGCTCACCAAGTCTGCGTACAAGACACATATGATCGATGCCCACGTTATTGACCATTATATACCATTTCTGGCGCTCGAAAAAACACATGTTGTGCAGTGCGTGAAGGCAGAATTTAAGCGGTGGGATATTGATCCAAAACCCGATGCTGTAAACAATGTTGTTAATAGCGCTGTTATTTATGATCCTAAGCACAGTATGTTTGCAACATCCGGTTGTAAGACTATTGAAAAAAAGGTTGCTATTGTCGCCAACGAGCGTCGCACATAAAGCTGTACTTGCTTTCGATTTATTGATATATATATATGTTGTATATATATATATATGTGTGTATGTATGACGAAAAATATGTTTTTATACAATAAAATTTAAATGAATGCTAGTTTTACCATGGATTCAGCCACTTAAGTCGCGAGTCCTTTCGCAGTAGTTCGGTGTCCATGCGCTTGGCCTGCTGGTCAAATGCATCGCGTGCGGCGTCGCGCATTTCCATAGGTCCAATGTCCTTTGTCACCAGGCACTCGCCGTTCTCCTTGAGTATAGTGTGCTTGATATCATTCGCCGTGGGCTCGCCATAGGGAAACGTGACAGGCGTTACTTTAATTAGATGCTTTATTTTCCACAGACGTGCATTGTTTTCGGGTATGTTTTTGACGACGGCAAAGTCGCTCTGTTTGCCATGCAGGCCCAGATCCTTGAGTATGCGTTTCTCCCAGAATGGATTACCTTTGACGGGTTTAATACGCTGCACTCGAAACAGCTTGGCGGGTTCTACGGGCGGATCTTGATGGTCGGGCGTTCTATAAGTTTGTGCTCTTTTTTAGTCCCTTTTTATTGGTTTGCCGGTTCAACACTCACCTGGGATAGTATATAATACCCTCGTATTTCTTGCCATCTTTGTACAAGAACTTCTTATTGTGTTTGCCATAGGTGCGTGCCACTGATTACATGAATTAATTTTTAAAGTTTTGTGGAGAATACTGGAAGTAAGAATTATTAGCGAATATAAACCATTTCTTAAGAGATATTTTAAAGTGAGCGTAATAATAAATTTTTTATCGAACAACATTTGATTGCACTAGTTTTGGTTATTATTTGTATATTTTAACTTTATGTTGTTGAACACGTAATCTAAATCTTTAGATGATTCTACGTCAAATAGTATATGGTTATGGTACAATAGAGTCGTGGTGTCGGATCAGTATCTAAAGAGTGTATTCCATTTAATGTGGTTGTGATATTCTTCGTTCTACTTTACTTTATTTGTTTATATAAATTGTACACATTATTTGCTTAACACGATAGCCGCATCTTAAAGGACAATCTATGATAGACGTGGGCGTGGCAGATTCACAACTAAAGCATAATTCGTACACAGTTAGTACATTTAATGCAAGACTTGACTCGAAACGGAATTTTGCTTTGATTTCTTTTGTTTAGCTTGTTAAAATACGCATCTAAATTTTACTAATGGTTAACCTTGCAAACGCACGTTGCCTGTTGGCCTGCAGTTTGCGTTTCTTTGGGCACAGCTAGGAGGCATTCGATTCGTTTGCAATGCTCATCATGTCCGCATCGATGTTCTTCAGCGCATTGTGATATTCTGTGATCTCGAGTGCCTCCCATTCGGCCTTGAATGCCGCCTTGGGATCTTGGGGCATGGTCATCGCGGCACCAGTCATTGCATCCGCCTGTGCTTGGGTCTGGTCCGCATGGTTATTCTCGCCCAGCACTAGGGTGTAAATGGAGCGCAAGCCAAACACGTTCAAGAAATACCATGATGCTGAGGACACCCAGGCGGCGTCCAGTGAGGCCAACTCCACGCCGCGTTGCAGCATTGGCTTGAAGCGCAGGGTGAGTGGGAATGGTACTTTGGTTGTCACAAAACCGGAGAACATCCAATTAATCCAGCCACCAATAACGACCATGGGCAGCACATTAATAAAATTGCCCTTTACCATGTCCGTCAGCATAGCCGAAGAGTTTTGGGCGACCGGAGCGCGTTTCTGGGTCTTGAAATAGCCCGTCTCCTCGTTATTGAAGAAGTTCTTTCGCATGGAAAAGGACTGGGCACTCAGATATTTACCATTCTCTCGCAGCAAACGAGCACGAATCATGGCTTGACTGTGACCACAAAATATAACAAAAACAATTTCAATCATTTTAAATACAATTTTTATAATTATCATATGAACTTCGTTCACCTGTCCATGATTTGGGTCATCTCAGCCTTCTTCTGTGTCGATATCAGAATGGATACGTAATGGCGCACGATGCCGACCAGAAATGTGATAAGCACGATGGGTAAAAACACCCAAACGCGTATGTCGGGATCTATAAGCAGCTCCGTCATAATTAACTTATTAATTAAAATATGTTTTCTACAAATACATTTCGCACCCGCAAAAGACTGTCCGGTGCTAGAGATGGTCGAATATTGAGCATGCGAATTATCGCTTTAATTAAGTAACGATGACAGACAACTATCGATTCACAGAATGACTAAGTATATAATTGGAGTCCAATTTTTGTTGGTTTCAATTCAATTAATTAAACGCAAATTAAATATTAAAGTTAAAGTTAAGTTAAAATAGGCTTACATTTCAACCAAATGTGAAACCAGCTTTCAATATCGATAATTTTTTCTGGTGCATTCGTGGACATATCGACAGCTTTGGCGATTGTCTCAATTGAAGTAGCTGCAAAATGTCTTATAAAAATAGTCGGAATATAGGCAATTACATATATTTCTATTTGATTGTTGGTATTACTATTCCTAAAACAGTTACAGCGATAGAGCCAATAAGCATTAGTGCATCTGTTTTGGGCACCGCTATTGGATTAGGCTATTTGAAAAGTCAAACCTATTGTCGGTTTTATGAGTGCTGCGATAACCGAAGCATTCCGGCTGACATGAACAGTAAGTTATTGATTTAATTTGTGGTGTCAACCACCATTGACAAATCCATTCCACAGAGCTACATCACTCGCTGTCTACAACTCTCTTTGGACAGCATATGGTGAGTCAGCACGTTCTTCCCGCTCTCGTTGCTCATCTGAAGTCAAACAGCCCGTCTCGTAAGTCGCTTGTGATGAGTTTCCATGGGACGCCAGGCACCGGCAAGAGCTTTGTTGCCGATCAAATAGCGGAAGCGCTTTACCTGGAAGGTACCAAGAGCAAATTCTTTCACAAGTATTTTGGTCGAGCGGATTTCGCGCATCCCGCCCGCGTGCATGAGTATAAGGAGCGCATAAATAAAGAGGTGCGTGAAAGCATACGGGATTGTCCACGTTCACTGTTTATATTCGATGAGGTGGACAAAATGCCGATTGGCGTCTTCGATACGCTGACATCTTTGGTGGACTATGCGGGCAATGGCGGTGACATTGACTATACCAAAGCCATTTTCATATTTCTGTCCAATACAGCGGGCATACGGATTTCAGATCATCTGGCCGATCTAATGAAAAAGGGCACACGGCGTGAGAACACACGACTGTCCGACTTTGAGGAGATGCTCACCAAGTCTGCTTACAATATGCATGGCGGACTGCAAAAGACACATATGATCGATGCCCACGTTATTGACCATTATATACCATTTCTGGCGCTCGAAAAAACACATGTTGTGCAGTGCGTGAAGGCAGAATTTAAGCGGTGGGATATTGATCCAAAACCCGATGCTGTAAACAATGTTGTTAATAGCGCTGTTATTTATGATCCTAAGCACAGTATGTTTGCAACATCCGGTTGTAAGACTATTGAAAAAAAGGTTGCTATTGTCGCCAACGAGCGTCGCACATAAAGCTGTTCTTGCTTTCGATTTATTGATATATATATATGTTGTATATATATATATATGTGTGTATGTATGAACGAAAAATATGTTTTTATACAATAAAATTTAAATGAATTCTAGTTTTACCATGGATTCAGCCACTTAAGTCGCGAGTCCTTTCGCAGTAGTTCGGTGTCCATGCGCTTGGCCTGCTGGTCAAATGCATCGCGTGCGGCGTCGCGCATTTCCACAGGTCCGATGTCCTTTGTCACCAGGCACTCGCCGTTCTCCTTGAGTATAGTGTGCTTGATATCATTCGCCGTGGGCTCGCCATAGGGAAACGTGACAGGCGTTACTTTAATTAGATGCTTTATTTTCCACAGACGTGCATTGTTTTCGGGTATGTTTTTGACGACGGCAAAGTCGCTCTGTTTGCCATCCAGGCCCAGATCCTTGAGTATGCGTTTCTCCCAGAATGGATTACCTTTGACGGGTTTAATACGCTGCACTCGAAACAGCTTGGCGGGTTCTACGGGCGGATCTTGATGGTCGGGCGTTCTATAAGTTTGTGCTCTTTTTTAGTCCCTTTTTATTGGTTTGCCGGTTCAACACTCACCTGGGATAGTATATAATACCCTCGTATTTCTTGCCATCTTTGTACAAGAACTTCTTATTGTGTTTGCCATAGGTGCGTGCCACTGTCAGGCTTAGCTGCAGTGGCGTCAATAACCTAAACAAGTTCATTTTATTTCAGAAATATTAACACAAATAATTGAAAACAGTGGCAGAAGCGAAACCAGCAGCTGATTAGTTATGAAAGCATTCCAGGGCTGCAAAGCAGTTTTGCCATTCACAATGATGCTGATTTAAAGCTTATCGATATATTCATTACCGATAATGTTTTTGAAGCGCAAAAAAAACATTTGTCAAATGCTTAACTTAAGAAAAATAACGGTTATTTAAATTATTTTATATAATCGCTCTGGTTTATGTTTATTAGCAAATCTGTTAGTGATCTTAAAGAAATGAACTGATCTTAAAGAAATAATTATGATTTGCCTATTATTTGTTTTGTGTAGCTTACTAGAGTTTATGCTTATGGAGCAATACAGCAATATTCTCGATTATCAGATGGCAGCCTTGTGTTGTGGGCGGAACAACTATATCACAATATCACAATGCTCGACGCCATTTTGTTGTTTTGATTGGCTTTCACAGCGAGGATGTTGCGCTGCCATTGGCTGCTCTCATGCCATCCGCACAGGGGTTGCAAATCCTTTGCTTTATAAATGATGCTGCAACATCCTCACATCGATTCAGTTCGGCGGCAAAGCTTTGAGCGTGCAGGACTTCATTTACCGTTATAAAAACCAGGAAATCGTCTGATTGCGATTCTTGTAAGCAGTCCAAGTGAATTAACGAATTGATTTTATATATAAAAATACATACATATATACATTTTTTTGTAAAGTTATTTCAAGTGTGCGTAGGCCTTATATCTGATGAATCGCATTCCAAACAATTGTTACGATCCAAGACTTAAAAAATGATAGCGTGCATCCATTTTCAAAGAACACTTTGATTTCAGTGCAAGTTGTGTGAGTTTTTGTTGTTGTGAAGAATAGCCCCATTAAACCGCAAATCACATAAGGGTTCGAATGCTCAACTCCCGCAGGCCAAAATAAATACAAACGTGACGATTGTTCAGTTATTTGTGTGGGTGAGAAAATATGTTGCGAATAAACGGAAACAAAAACAATAAATACACTAAGCACAATAAAAACAAATGAAAACGCATAATAGGAAAGGCAAACAGGACACGTGACCAACGTGAAAAGTGGGTGGTACAGAAAAGGGGTCGCGTCTATCGAGGGGTTGCCAGCCGTGCACCCTTTAATACTCAACTCACCGAAAACCATAAATAATGCATCTAAAATTCGCGCAGTTTGCTTAATTTGCGGTTAGGTGGAGGGGCGTGGAACGGTGGGATGAGGGGATGACATCTCCAGGAATTGTTGTACATACGGTTCGGTCTCTATAATAAAACTACATTTAAATTAAAAAAAAAACGATTTGAAGACGAATCAAATCACTGCACAGCTATAATTTTGTGAAAACTAAATCAACTTTCAAAGCAATGCTTTATTAAACATGGTTTGTTCACCGGAAAACTCGAACTTGACTGATTGCATTTGGGGATGGGTAAACACTTTGGGCAGACACTACTTTGTCAGAACTCTTCAGTTCTCAGTTTTAGTCAAAAATGCTTATAAGACTTTGATATTTCTTATGTAATTAACAGTGTGCAGCGCAGTCGGAGCAAGTGGAGCAGGTGCAGGATCAGCTCAATATGGTATACGATATGACGCATTTGGCACCGGCGCCGCCGCAGAGCATCTCACTGAGTCGCTACTATATGGACCAGGACGATGAGTTGGCTGCCGCGAACAATGCGCTATCGAATGGCCATGGACATGGACATGGGCAGCATTCTGGCGGCGATGATTATGCGGCCAGCACCACTTTGGACATTGATCAGCGCTTTCAGGCGCGCATCGCCTGCGAGACGGCCGCTCAGCCGGCACCGCCGCCGCCACCGACGCCGGCACCACGTCGCCGCACCGTGCCCGTTGCCCATCTGGATCCCTCCGAGCTGGTGGGTCTGTCGCGGGAGGAGCGTCGCCGGCGTCGCCGTGCCACGCTCAAATATCGCACGGCGCACGCGACACGCGAACGGGTTCGCGTTGAGGCGTTCAATGTGTCCTTTGCGGAGCTGAGGAAGTTGCTGCCGACACTGCCGCCGGACAAGAAGCTATCCAAGATCGAGATACTCAAGCTAGCCATCTGTTACATAGCGTATCTGAATCATGTGCTGGAGACACCCTGAGACGCCGCCAACGCCTCCAGCTGCAGCCAGTTGCCAGGCGCCATGTTTCTAACTCTTCCTTCGTCTAACAACTAATATATATATATATATATATATATATATATACATTTACACATAGTCTCTATCAGAAGTCTTAGATTAGCTCTAGTTAATATATAGTATTTTTTTTGTCTTTTTTTTGTATAGCATCTAATACGTGATATTTGTTTATGTGTCTATCCAATGCGCAACAACAATAAATTAATTCTTATACATGTATATTGTACAGTAGATAAATGAGTTCCTCTTCTTCCTGTTCGCAACTTTAGATTATGCCCTGTAACAGAAGTTGCATAACTGGGGCATTTAAGACTTGAATCAGACAATCAAGTCAAATTATTTTGTATTAATATTCTAAGCAAATTTGACTCTCTATTCTAAATGAGAGATCTTAGAAAACTTGAATATTTCCTTCTAATTGCAAATTTTCACAATCACAATATTTATTTAAGAGAATATACTCTTGTTTATTTTACAATTGAACAGGGTATTTGATGGTCGCGTAGGATGTGCAGTGCAGCACTTTTATTTGTTTGGTTGATGGCTCAGCTGGCATTGGCAATTTATTCATTTGCTTTTCTGTTGGCAAGCAAAGCGCCAGCTGCTGCCCACAGCTCTGACCCCATACCCCATGCCCCAACTGCTTGCAACCCCCATAAGCATATTGCTTTATTCTCTAGGTATGACTGTATGCCACATCCTCATCCTTTGGCTGCTGTGCGCAGTGAAAGCCACGCCCCATTTTGGATCAAAGTGGGTGTTGCCTGTGATGTGAATGTGTTTTTTGTGTTCTTCCAAATTCGAAAAGTTGTCAAAATATATATATTTCGAAATTTGTATTTCTTTGCTATTTTGTGCTCTCCAAATTCGAAATTCTTGGACCGAAATGTCATTCAACTTTAGCGCCATGCAGGTAAGCAATTAACTTCCAACAATATGGATGCTGTTTGTGTGTGTGAGAGAGAGACAGAGAGAGAGAAAGAGAGAGAGAGATGAACAGCGTTGCCACCTGTCAAGCAGCTACAGCAACTAACTGTAGATGTAACCCAATTGAAGACGCCATCTATGCCATCCGCTTGGTCTATTTAGGCGCCCTGCGTATTATTTATTGAGCGGGCGGTAACCGAAATTCGCTTGGTACGGGCACTAAAGTATTAAATTTAGCTCAAGAGTGGCGTACGTATATAACGTGATCGACTTGTACATACCCTGTAAATAATTGGTTGCTTATTTCGCATGACATAAGATTTAAGTTGTTTTTCGTTTATTTGTGCATAAGTGAAACTTTTCTAAAAGTTTACCAAAAGTTTGAACTTTTTAATCCTACACATCTAGAAATATATACAATCATCTGGCATACGCCCACAACAGCAACATCAACAGAAACGGGAACAACAACAACAACAACATTAACATGGCAACGTGGCCCCAATCTGTGCCACGAATAAGCAGAACAACAGTCAAAAAAGCGACAGGGCCCAACTTATGTGTTCAGCTTGTCGCTGTCTCTGTCTCTGTCTCTGAGTACCAGGCTCTACTTCTAAAAATAAAGAGCACGACGGAACAGGCGACAGCAAATACTGATTATTTAATATGCAAACGATTTTTGATCTGATTGAGGGTGGCTTGGGCTGTAGCTCTTTCTGGATTTCAAAGTTTAAACTCTTTAATCAATTAAAAAATAATCGTAAGAATTTTCACCTAAGAAATGTGTATAACTTTAAAGTTGTTAATCTAATCTTAATCTTCTTCAACTCTTGACTCAAACTAATTCGATTATTTCATGATTAACTGAAATACAAAGTAACATTTGCGAATTTCAGGTTTACAGATGACAAATTCGCCATCTGATCGATGTTTTTGAAACCTTTAACAAAGTGCGTAAATTATTACTTCTAATTAGTAAAAAAATTCGATTAATTATGATTTGTAGTTTACCACACTTTTGGACGCTTTTGTCGGCAGTCAGCCTTAGCTGGATTCCCGCTCCCATTTGCGTTTCCTTACCGATTCCCTTGCTGCCCGTTCTTGGCACTTAGGAGTGGCACCTCTGCTACCCTCTCCTCAGCTGTTCCCTCCGCTGCGGCAAGTTTGCCAAATAGCGACAGTAAAGTTTATTTACTTGGTAACGGTGGGTAACGGTACACCGTGTATTCCGGCCAGGTCCGATTGCCACGCAACTCGTTTACAGTTATTTTTCATACAATTTTTCGATGTCCACAAACAAGGCGATTGAAAACGGTCTAACGGAATTTAACGCTTGCACAGTCTTAACGGGATTTGAGCGGTCTGTTGTTGTTGTTGTTGTTGTTGGCTCTCATCTTCTGTGCTGTGGGGGATATCAAGGATGTCAAGCATCCCCCTTCGATGATTGCAACTGTACACATTTAATAGCATTTCAATTGCAATCCTGCCACTGCCCAGACGCACGTCAATTTGACAGCTGTTTTGAGGACGTCCACGCCCACGTCCACGCCCAGTAAAATTGATTGGAAAACTGCGCAAAGCTGCTGCAAATGGAATTGGAATTGGAATCGGAATCGGAAACGAACAACTCTCCAACTGTGCTGCAGCAATTGTGGAGTTAAGCGGCTGCAGTGCGTGAAATTACCTTAAGTGTCGCCCACTCAGCCTCCTTCATCTCCGCCTCCTTCGTCTGCTTCTCGAGCCGCACAAGAGTAAGTGTGAGTTGTCTGTGTGTGTGTGTGTGTATGTGTGTGTGTGTGCAGAGATGGGCAATTCAATTTATTTCTGTTGCCAACATTTTATTTTATTGGTTGTCATTTATTTCACACTTTCAGAAAAAACAGCAAAATTTCAATCTATTCTACTCTCGACAATTGATTTAATAGTTCATCGTATGAAAATCAAAGAATTTCATCAGCAAACTCCCTTTTATCTTTGCACCTTGAAGGTGGACCTTTCCCGACTTGCACCTTTTTAAGCCATCAGGTTCAGTCCAGCTTGATAGCTTCAATGGGTCAAAATTTGTGAAAATCCTGTGAGTGCTGTTGCCATGATTGTCCCTGTCACATTTCCCAAATTTTCTTGTCGTGAGTCACGATAAACACGAAAACACGAGAAGCGGCCAACTCTATTTGGGTGTGGTGGGGGGGCACAAGTGGCAAGTGCCACAAGTGCAGTAGTACCAGCAAGCAGACCAGCTCGCCAGGCTGGTCGAGTGCACGTGCAACTTTTTGGTTTGGTAGCTTTTTGACTGTCTAATCCTGCAGGCAGCATGTGATAAATGGCACCCCAGAGGGTTGACATAAAAATCATCGCTTCAGCTGCCTGCCCGCCCGCCCAGACTAGCAACGCAACGCATTTGTGTCGGGGGATGGGGCATCGTTTTGGGTTTGCCAATTTGGTAGTGTTATCTGTTTGCTGGGTGCTGGGTGCTGGGTACTGTTCATCCTATTGTGGTGCTAACAGTTGGACGCCTTCCGTTTTGTTGCTAATTGAGTTTAAAATCAATTTGTATTTTACGCTCGGTCAAGTGTACTTCAAATACATACTTCTGGCTAGTGGGATTGATCCGTTCGTCTCCCTTCGCACTCACGCCTTGTTGTGTAATTGCCGTGCAAATTTAATTACAACAGCAACATTGCAACAATCGCCCCTCTCCCACCACTTGCCACGCCACACGCATTGTGGTCGGTTGCGCGTGTCGACAGCATCTGCATAGTTCCTGTTCCTGTTCCTCTGCCTGTTCCTACGTGCTGCTCCTGGTTCGCACGCACTCAATCAAGCTCTCCAATCATTCGCAACTCCATCAAGTGTTGACAACTTGCCACGTGCAGCATCGTGGGCGCTGTGGGCGCTGTGGGCGTGTCATTGGGTATTGTATTACCAACACACAATTTGCATTTGATATAATTGAAATTGCGTTTGCGTGGGAAATTTCAGATCAGGAAAACGTTCCAGCAAACTTTTTCCTCTTCTTTTTTTGGCGCCCTTACTCATGTTGTGGCCGGGGGATAGTGGGAGTTAGGGAGGGAAGGAGGGAGGGAGGCAGGGCTGAAGCAACAGCTGCTGAGCTTAAAGCCATGCTGATAAATGATTGCACATGACTTTGATCCATGGTTGAAGGCAAGCCAAGGATTTAACAAGGACTGGCATCAATTGCCAGTTCCGGTTTTACTGCTTGCCTGTGCGTCTTTTGATACCCTAGCGTAAAACGTTAACTGGGGTAAACACATTGAATTGTCACATTATTATTATATTTTTTAAGGCCAAAATTTTTGTAATATTTCATATCATTCAAGCATATTTCAAGTTGTTCTCTTCAGATTGATTTAAGGGGTATTTTGTAGTCGAGCTTTATTTGAGCTTATGATTATTATTGTTTCTGTTTGCCGTCTGTGCTGTCTGTGTTTAAAAAGGCAAACACAAACAAGGCATTAAGTGGCATTAGAGAAAATTCGCTTTTTTTACACATGTTGCAACACGGCGGAGATTACGATTACGTCGTGTAATCGTCGTGCAATGGTTGTCGAGGGTTGGACCCAAGGGGAGGGTTCCGGTTCGTTTCGATTGTATCTTTTGCCTCCTGTTTGGCTTTTTATCAATTGGCTTGCTTAGCGCCCATAAATAACGGTTTTAGTTTTGCAATTGCAGCAGGTGGCTGCCTGACTTGACCCACCTAGCTTTAACCAACTGCAATGATTCTCTCTCTCTCTCTCTCTCTCTCTGTTTTAATTTTGCAGTACGAACGGGATTTTCGCGCCAAGAGCGTCAGCAACTGGGAATATCCTCGCTTCTTTCCGCCCCGTCCACGTAACCTGCACAAGAACGCGAAGCCCATTGCCGATAAGAACGGACATCTGTTGGCCACAGCAGCCCGGTGAGTTCATCATCATCTTTATCTTGACTTCTTCCCGTTGTCTTCACTTTAAACGATTACAATATTTTTACATTCGAAATAATGCGACTACAACTTAGAAGCGTAGAAAGACAGAGGCGACAACGGAGCTGGGCAGAGACACCAGCACTCCGACAAGCCACATGTCTTTTGGGTGGCTATAATCACAAACGATTTAAGCAAGTTATAACTTTGGCGAAGAATAGACTTGGGATACTCATCGGTCTACTAACACAGGATATTGTAGACTAAAAAGTCACCTAACTAAACTAGGTATCTATACAAAATGGGGAAGAATCCTCAATGCTTAACTAGCAGAAAATGCAGCATCCCAAGGATGCATAATGCTGGGGTTGATGGAGGAGCTATAGGCTCAGTACGGGGCACAATAGATCTAGTAGTAGTAGTAGGAGTACAGGTATCCCAGTTATAATAATAATAAACATACGAAATTATTCAGCTCAAATTCATAGTATCTTTGGGGTGTTTTTCGACAAATCAGTCGATATCAGAATTGATTTAAGAACTAGAGTGCACTTAAAATATAAAACAAAACAAGAAGTGTTTGTTCAATTGTATAACTTTTGATTGGAATCTGATGCTCGCAGGGACGGCAACTTCTTGGGCCAATATCGTGGCACATATCATCTGCCGCTGAGGATTACGCGCAGCTTTGCCGACTTGTACAATCGGTGTTTGAGCGGACGACACAAGTACTGGAAGTATCCTCGGGACCTGTGCTGCTGCCAGCGGGAGCGGCCGCATCCTTGTGACTTTCGCCAGACTCTTGGCATAAAAGGCGATCCATCCTGGCAGCAGCCAGCCGACTGCCAGACCAAGTGTGAGGGCCTCCAACAGATGCTGGCCATCAACGAGCTGCACAAGAAGTGCAAGCGTATGAAGTGCCAGCCACAGGTGAGTCAGAACGAGTACAGAGCAAGACACGACACGGGCACGACACGGGCACGAACACAAACACGAGCACGAACACGAGCACGGACAGAAATACGAGCACGAAAAACACTTACTAGAAGCTAGAAACTAGTCTTCCCGTAGTTAAATCATTTTTTTCAATATGTTTTATTATTTATTTTTCTTTCTTTAGTAGAAAAAGTTGCTGTCCTGTTTTTATGAGTGTTTAGATTTTCAATAATCAGAGCGTTCTAATCATTTTGATTTCGAAATTAATACTACACTTGAGGTTGGAAACGCGATTTGGATTCGATTTTCATTTTAAAATTCTATTTGCAAAAATTATAGACTTTGAAGCATGGTTTGACCTCTAAAGCAAACGGTTGAAGCTAAAAAGCTTATGGAAATATTCGATTAATGTCAGCAATATCAATTTCATATATAGTCCGACTTTCTAATTGTATTTTGTGTGTCGGTTTGGGTGTTGGTGTCACGCTTATTACAGTATACAGTATATTTAAGACACACCCCTTGCAACCCGCACTGATTGCACACCACAACTCCACCCCTACCCGCAGCCCAATGAGAAACAGATTCGACGTGTGGGCGAGGCCTCCTCGAAATACAGCAAGAAGCTGCGCAAGCGTCCTGTGACCGCCTTTGACTACAATCGTCGCGGTACTCCCATGCTGGAGCAGCCCCAGCAGGACCAGCCCACCGATAAAACCAAGCCCACCAAGGTCACAGTACCAGTCCCAGCAGCAGCATCAGCAGCTGCCAAGTCAACCGGCAAGTCAACAACTAAGGCCGCCCCGGCAACATCCAAGTCAAAGCCCAAATAATTTGACACATTTGCCCCAATTTGAGGAACAATAAATTGCACTTCAATAAACATTCATTTGACAAGCTTTAAACTTTAGAATACATTTGGGGCTCTGATAGGGAATATGCCTAACTAGGACATATCCTGTATCAGGTTTTGATGATTTACCTTGCAACATATGAAAATCCCCTTTCGAACCATTACATTTAATCAAATTGGAATTGATTTAGATTCGGCAAAGCATATTTGTTTTTTGTCTGTAGTTTTGTGGACTGCTTCGGTATTATTGCATTTTCATTTTTTCTTTGATTAGAAATCTTTTAAAATTGCATACAAATCTCAGAAAACATATAATTGAAAATAATTTGAGCACAATTAAAAAACAAACATAAATTGACATCAATAAGTATGTACAAACACTTTCATGTGCATCCATCATCCATCATCAATCATCCCTCATCAATCATCGATGCAATTTTTTTCACTCACAAAATCACCCAAAAATTAAAAACAAAAAAAGGGAAAATATTAAGTGATAATTGAGACTCGAAACTGAAACTGAAACTGAATCGTGGATAATAACATCATCATCAACCATGTCGCAAGCAGCGGTCGCCAGCAACGGCAGCAATTACAAGCTGCCTGATTTGAGCTATACGCCGGGAGATCTCACCGAGCCGGAGTACCGTCTGCCATCGCATCAGCAGCTGCTGCTTGACCAGAAACGACCCGAGCATGTACTGCAGCGAGACTTGCCACTGAGCCGCTTGTATTTGAGTGAGCCGGATACGCAGCCGTTGGACAAATATCGGGCAACGGCGGAGGCGGCCCGAGAGGTTACCTCGGCGGCGGGACGACAGTTTCCGGCACTGGCTGCCGCACAGGCCAAATACACGGGACAGCTAAACAATAGCCACAACAGCTTGGACATATCCGAATTTGAGTTTTCACCCGGCAAGGATCTCATCTCGTTGCCGATTGTAAGCACGCCTGCAGGTGCAGCTGCAGCTGGCAGCTCCCTTGATCCAGAGCAAAGTCGTAAAATGCCGCTGCACTCGATCACTGAAAAGCCCAACGAGCGCTGCCCATCGCCGGTGGTGCCGGCCTATGCCAACTTTGAGCTGGCCAAGCGTATGCATCAGGACAATCTCGATCATCAGCCGCTGCCGGATTGTGTCGCTGATCTGGCGTATCGCAAGGCACAGATAAGTGGCGGTCATGGCGGACTCGCTCTCGATATAGATCCGATTGCGACGGGCGTCGGTGTGAAGACCCACAATGCCGGCCCCACCCACTGCACCAAGATGCGTGTCTATCGGCCCAAGACCGGCTGCGGCGTCCTGCCCAAGGCATTTGGCGGCGATCATTTTCGGGGCATTGGCTCCGCGCCCAGCAAGAAAATGGGCGCCATGGATCTAGCGATTGGCTGGGACTTTAAGCCGGCGCATCCCGGCGACGAGCCGCGTCTGGCCAGGCACATAGACGGCTCCAATGACTCGGCCGGGCCGGCAGTTTTCACCTGCGTGAAAACACCACGCGAAGATCAATCAAATGCGGAGCTGGGCCGATCCGCTGGCGTCTTTACCAGCACCCTCGGCGAACCGGACTTCTTTGACAAGGACATTCTGCGCCGCAAGTCCGACTTTGCCGGCCGACAAATGGATCGTGACAATAACTGCGATTGCGACTATTCTCCACCAGCGGTGCGTGCCCGGAGCGTTTCACGCGATTCAAGTGCCTCCCATTGCCGGCGTGCGCCGGCCTTGGGCGGCGGCTCCTCGTCCGGTGCCGGTGGTGGCGTTACTTTTGGCATGCCTGGCAATCGCCTGGCCAAACAATATCAGTCATCGCCCTTGCTGGGCGACAAGGCGTATCAGGCGCTGCGCGAAAAGTATCTTGGACCAGATAATGATTGTTCCGGTGAGTCGGCGGCGCCTCATGGTTGCTCCCATGCCACCGGTCCCAGCTGCAAGCGGGATCAACTGCTCCGACGTCCGGCTAGACGACTCTGCCACAAGGTGGCGCCAGCGCCAAAATGCTGCCCTTCCGCCCATGGCCATGGCCATGGCCACGGACACGGGCATGGACATGGGCATGGACACTGTCTGGGGAGCAAGGCTGCCTTTCGCGCCGGCATGCCCAAATTGAATGCATCCGGCGACTTTGTGGGCATCTCTGCTGATTGTGGCATGGGCGGCGCCGGTCGCGTCCTCGTCGTGCCTCGACCCCGACAGCCATATGCCAAGAAGAACTATGACATCGATACGTTGGTGCCGCCATTTCGCAGCCAGGGCGGCGGCGCTGGACAGGGCGGCTATCCGGAGCACTGGCGCCTGGCCAGTGTCTATCAGCACGCCTACAAGCCGATCGATCAGCGCCGCCGACCGCTTCTACAGACCGTCTACAAGTAGGCACCAAGGCAACTTACCCAAGAGGAGAACTCCCTTGAAACCTTTTTTGTACACCTTTCAAAATCGCCTTAAAAATTAGCAAAATAAGTGTTTTTATTTAGAAATAATTGACGAGATCTTAGAAGATTTTTTTCGCTGCTTGTTCTCAATTGAAAATCCCAAAAATATCTTATTCATTTATACTTTTCAAAGATCTTTACCAATCAACTGTTAATTTTTGGAATTTAAGTCTAAATAGGTTAATGGGAAGTATATAACTAATATAATTTTTATGTTGTTGCTGAACCGATATACCAAAGACATATATATATGCATTATTATATTGGCTATAGCTAGGTAAAAAAAATCCTAAAGAATTGTGCATACAAACAACAAATTAATTGTGTTCAATTTAACAAATAATTCACAAAAGTAGAACTGCAAAAATTGATATACTTGAATATTTTAGGAAACTATCCGTCCAAAATTCGAACTCTAATTCTAATTCTAAGAGAACTTGACTCTCTTTTTCTTTCTTTTTTTTTTGGTATAGTAAGCAATCATGTTCATTGCAAAAGATAGAGTCCTAAAATATAAGAATTGTGTAGCTGAAAATGAAATACCCAAATACATATCGAATAAGCCCACATTTAAGTAAACATCGCATACAGTTGCGTACATAACATTTATGTAATGAAAAAAATAATAAAAAACAAATGTATAAATATTGAATACACATACAAAAATGTATAAATAAACGTGCAAAACATTTGTAAAACTTAACTAGAGGTGCATTTCAAATTCAAGTTCAAATAATATTTGCTTATGACTCAAAAGTTCATCCGATATCTGGTCAAATCTTTAGGATTACTTTCAAAAATATAAGTATAAAGTTCTAACAATATAATATATAATTTTGTTATACGATATGTCTGCCGATTTAAATCATTCCTGGCCCAAGTTCAAAAAATTAAATGTGAGCAGTATTTAAAAACCTATTTTTCTAATAACTGTAGTCTATGAATTTCCAGGGATTTGTACATTTCAATATGTTTTGCTTGAGACAAGAACCTCTTCAATTCAGATATTTGCCACTAAGATATGTGGCACTAAGTAACTATCAGATCTCTCAGAAGCTCTGCTGCCCATAAAATAATCAATCATAATGTAAATGTTTACAAAATAGCAAAAAAAAACATAATTTCAAACAAGACGAGGCAAAAAAATAAGAAGAACCAAGAACCAACTTCGGTTGGATGGTGATGGTGTTTTGTAGACAATCTTTGGATGCTAAAGAACTTGTAGTGTGAGTGGTGAAGGAGTAGTGTGGCATGTGAGCGGCTCACTTGGCCGTTGCCGTCGCATAGGCATCCTGGCTCTTGTGGAACACATGACGCAGCACTTCGCGTGTGGAGCGTCGGATGCTGTTGCGCACCGTGTGCTTCTTCTCGTTGGTCAGCTGCTCAATGCGCATGTAATCGGTTTGTGGAATGCTGGAGCGCAGTTTCATCGTCCGCTCGCTGCTGTCCACAATGGATATGTCTGCTTGGGTGTATTCCTCCGGCTGCAGCTTCTGCGGACGACGACGCAAACTGTGGCGTATGCTGCTGATAAGGTTGCTGCTGCCGTGTTGTTGGCTTGCTGCAGCCTCTTGTGATGTGGTCGTCGCCGCCGCGGCCTGAGGATGCTGCTGTTGTTGCATGGGATGCATTAGCTTGCGAATGGATTTGCGTATCATGTTCCTAACGCCATGACCAGAACTGCTGGCTCTCAGCTCTGCGGACTTGGCTGATTTACTGGAGGCAATCGAGTGCAGAGATTCCTTGCTACCAGCAATGGGATTGGACTGAGTAACTGCAATTGTAGCGGCTGCTGGGCGATAGGAGCGCACAAAGCGTGCGGGCGCCTTAAAGTCTAGCTCCTCTTCTGGTTCTTCTGGCTCCGATTCGGAGGCATAGGCCACATCGCCGCTTTCAAGCTCCAAATCAGCTAGCTTCGCCTCCGGCTGCTGCACTGGATCTTGAGGCTGCTCCTCCAGTTCTGTTTCCTCCGGCGCCTCTATAATCTCGGTTAGCGTGCACCTGCGCGTAGTAGTGCATACAATGCGCCGATCCAACTGCTCATTGGATTGCATCTGCTTTTGATCAATCACTACTTCTAGCTCCGTTTGTGTTGTCTCCAGCACAACGCCATTTTTGCGTAGCTTTGCCTCATTGATGCTGTTCTCCAGTTCCAGCTGATAACGATCCAGCTCCTTGCCAATATCCATGCTGCTGCTCTCCTCACTGATGGCGCCCAGCGAGCGCTTGGTAGCCACTGGCGGCGGCAGCGGCGGTACCGGCGAGAAGACCAGCTTTTCGGCCAGCAGTTTGCTGGGCGTCAACTGGCCCAGCGACATGCCATTGAAATCGATGCGACAACCCACCGTGGGCGTAAATGGTAGCCCAATTTTCAGTGTGGTTGGCAGTGGGTCCTCGGCGAGGCCGGGATTCGACACGCCCGCTGGATTGCTAGCTGCTGCTGAGATCTCGCTCTGTCGATGGATCTCAAAGGGATTCAGGGATGCTGGTGCATCGCTGCCGCGCAAATTGAGCGCCTCGTTAACAAAACACTTTGTGGGCGTGACCACGCAACGTACAACCTGCAGCATAATAAATAGCAGTCAATTGACATAAATGAAACGAACATATGCACAAATTTTCAAACTTACCTCGTACGGATTGAACTGGCGCTCGGGTAGTTCAAGATTTAGGCCTGGATTCTCGAAGCAAGCGTGTTCGCGCTTCTTTTTCTTGGAGGCATGACGCACTACCTCGAAGGGATTAAGTGGTTGTGCTGGTGGTGGTGTTGGCAGCTGTTGTTTTTGCTGCTGTACTGTCGCCAGTTCAGCAATGGATTTGATTTCCAGTCCAGGATGTGCACCAAATGGATTTAGATTCTCGTTTGCCTTGGGAATGCGACGACGCCCAATCAGTTTCTTTGGCGTTGAACTGAATGCAGCGTTAGTGAAGCATGACGCAGTAGTTGCAACGGCAGCAGCTGCCTCATCGATTTTTAAGGGTGGCTGAGGAGCGCAGCCAGTTCCAATTCCAGTTTCCCTTTTGCGTTTGCGCGGCGTCTCATTGTATGCCAGTGCAGCAATGCTCTTTGTTTCCAGCATTATGTATAGTTGATGTATATTTTAACAACACACCCAATAATGCATTAATTGAATCAAACTTATTTTTAGCGCTTAAACCAGGCGAATAGCTCAAGAACGAAATGTACACAACAGCCAATTGTACGGCCTATGCAATGTGCACCATTTTGAAATTACAATTAAGTGTTGCAAAACGATTGATGAAAACCCCAACGATAGGTGAATGTTGTTTCCATTGCCACGATTCATTGTGATTGAAAAATGTGGAAGAAGCGGCATGCCTATTTTACCGCCAATTGAAAATTTAAATAAAAGCAAATATATTTATGAACTTATAATATACATGCGACAGTTCAGGCACCTCTATTTAAAGTGAATGCTGTCACCGTCATATCAATAATTTTTATGTACTTAAATTTTTAGCTATCGATATTGTCTTACCGATATGTATGACAGCGAAAAATAATTTTTGCAGCATAAAACTCAACGCTTACGTAGCCGAACAAATTATCAAAGTATATTTACTTGAATTATTAAAAATCAGGCTTGATTGAAATATGTTAAAATAACACAATAAAATATATATTTGTATATATCGATATTTAGACTCACACATCGATTGCCTGCTTTCGATTATTTCGTAACACGTGTGCGGCGGACAAAACGGTAAAAGGCAGAAAAGTAGCAGCACTTTTTGCAGCTGCTGTTGGTGTGTGTGTGTTCGGTGTGTTCCTGTTCCGTTGTAAAGCAGCAGCCCGTCTAGCAGCAGCCCCCTCAGAAGCCCGGACCAGCATTAACAACCCAACAAATGCAAATTGGTTTCAATTCTTTTGCGTGACACGCTCTTTTTTTTGTTAAAATCAGCAATTTAAAGGTGAGACTTAATGCTAATAATCATCCGTGGAAAATTCAATAATGTGCACACGCATACCTAGGTATGTTATATGCACAGATGTCTTTGTGCATATGTGTGAGTGCGCGTGTGTGCTGTAACCGTCAGTCAGTCAAGTGTTAAAGTGTTGTCTAGCGCCTATATATTTGTGAATGTGTGTGTTGCAATTTCACCCCCGTTCCTTGTCACTTATTACGCTTCTGCTCCTCCTGCTTCACCTATCAGCTGCAGCGAAATTCCTTTGTGCAATTCTCATTGAGCAAACCCGAAACGCGCGTCGGTGTGATTCATAAAAATGCGCTAACGAAGGCGAAATGTGGCTCAGCAACAGCTAGCAGAGAACGAAAAGAGAAAAGCATCAGTTGACGTCGCAAATTGTTAATACGTATGAAAAATCGTAACGCGTCACTTTGTCTTCGTTTCAGAAATTCGCGTTCTGCTGGAACAGTTGTTTCTCTAACACACATTGGTGGCGCCATCTACTGTCACCAAAACAGCGTGCTCCCTCTCTGTTCTTCCTTCGTTTGCAGCATGTTATCTGCACCCGATTTAACATGCTCTCTTTTTATTAAATATTATTTGAAAATGGACATGAAATCACGCACAGAACAATTCCTGCAAAAATTTGCGTTTTTATTGCTGATCAGCATTTTAGCTGTGGCCTCTTATTCCCCTCTCCTCCATGCGTTTTGCCTTTGGCTTCTTTCATTTATTTTAATCCATCGAGATAGTCAATGTCAGCCTAGCGTAGTATTGGTCTAAATTAATTGAGATATTGAACAAATTCAAATTTGATTGCACCAAATAATCATTTTTGCTTAAAGAGACCAATTTCTTAGAACATTTATTTGAAGTTTAAACGTTAATATTTATATTATTTCAAGTGATTTTCTTTTACTGTCATTTTTCAGCTCATACACACACACTCACACGCACACAGTTTTAGGCACATACAGGAAATAAATTTATACATATTTTTTAGGCAAAACAAAAAACACACACATTTCTCTGGGAAACACAACAAAAGTATTGTAACGTAAATTCGACTTAAAAGAGCAAAACAAAAATAATAAAAGTAAAAAAATGCCATCGGACGCTAAGAAACGCGATGCACAACGCAAAAAAGATGCGCGCAACAAGAAGATCCAACAGATACCGTCCACGAAGAAGTCAAATGGTGTGAACGGTGTGGATCGCGAACTGACCGAAGAGGAGAAACTGTGCGCCAAACTGGAGGAGGAGGCACGGATCAATTCCGAGGCGCGCTCCTGTACCGGTTCATTGGCTGTCCATCCAAGATCGCGTGATGTGAAAATTGCCACCTTCTCAATTACGTTCTTTGGCTCTGAGCTGCTGCAGGACACAATGCTCGAGCTGAATTGCGGTCGTCGCTATGGACTAATTGGTCTCAATGGCTGTGGCAAATCATCGCTGCTGGCTGTGCTTGGCGGTCGGGAGGTACCCATTCCGCCACACATTGATATATTCCATTTGACGCGTGAGATACCAGCGAGCACGAAGAGTGCGCTTCAGTGCGTCATGGAGGTCGATGAGGAGCGCATCAAGCTCGAAAAGCTCGCCGAGGAGCTGGCCATGAGCGAGGAGGACGATGCCCAGGAGCAGCTAATCGATATCTATGAGCGACTCGATGACATGTCCGCCGATCTGGCCGAGGTCAAGGCCGCTCGCATTCTTCACGGTCTTGGCTTTGACAAGGCCATGCAACAGAAGCAGGCCAAAGACTTCTCGGGTGAGTCACATGCTACATGACATTGCCAACTGGTTTGTGTAGTTTATAATTTGATGATCAGCTTGCCAACCATTTGCATCTGTACTAATTGCTGGTATTATTTCGCTTAGGTGGTTGGCGCATGCGAATCGCGTTGGCACGCGCTCTATTTGTGAAGCCGCATCTGCTGCTGCTGGACGAGCCGACAAATCATTTGGATCTGGATGCGTGCGTGTGGCTGGAGGAGGAGCTGAAGACGTACAAGCGCATTCTGGTGCTTATTTCACACTCGCAGGACTTCCTCAACGGCGTCTGCACGAACATCATTCATTTGACCGGCAAGCGTCTCAAGTACTACACGGGCAACTATGAGGCATTTGTGCGCACCCGCATGGAACTGCTGGAGAACCAAATGAAACAATACAACTGGGAGCAGGATCAGATATCGCACATGAAGAACTATATTGCCCGATTCGGTCACGGTTCCGCCAAGCTTGCCCGCCAGGCCCAGTCCAAGGAGAAAACGCTGGCCAAAATGGTTGCCCAGGGCCTCACCGAAAAGGTCACCGATGACAAGGTGCTCAATTTTTACTTCCCCTCTTGCGGCAAGGTGCCTCCGCCAGTCATCATGGTTCAGGTAAGTCTCCAGGGAATCTTTGTTGTCAAACTGATTGAAAATGAGTTTTAAGAAGAGATTTAATTTAATTTTATACTAATTTGAATTTCTTACGGGTAGAATGTGAACTTTCGGTACAGCGATGAAACGCCATGGATCTATAAGAAGCTCGAGTTTGGCATTGATCTGGACACGCGCCTGGCACTGGTGGGTCCCAACGGAGCTGGCAAGTCGACGCTGCTGAAGCTGCTCTATGGCGATCTGGTGCCCACATCCGGCATGATTCGCAAGAATTCGCATCTGCGCATCGCGCGCTATCATCAGCATCTACATGAGCTGCTCGATCTGGATGCCAGCCCGCTCGAGTACATGATGCGCGCATTCCCCGATGTCAAGGAAAAGGAGGAGATGCGCAAGATCATTGGACGCTATGGCCTCACTGGCCGCCAGCAGGTTTGCCCCATCCGACAGCTGTCGGATGGTCAGCGTTGTCGCGTCGTCTTTGCCTGGCTGGCATGGCAGGTGCCGCATCTGTTGCTACTCGACGAGCCGACCAATCACTTGGACATGGAAACCATCGATGCTTTGGCGGATGCCATCAATGATTTTGATGGAGGCATGGTGCTAGTTAGTCACGATTTCCGTCTCATCAATCAGGTAAGTTTAAACGAATTTCGTTTGTGTTTCGTCTCTTATCTTTTGAATATTTGTTATTAACTATTTGTCTGTTGTTTGTCGACAGGTGGCCGAGGAGATTTGGGTCTGCGAGAAGGAGACGGTGACCAAATGGAAGGGCGGCATTTTGGACTACAAGGACCACTTGAAGAACAAAATTCACACCGACAATGAGAAGAAGGCCAAGGCGGCAAGCAAATAAATAGATATGATGGATTATACAAAGCACAATACACACACACACACATGCACACACACACACACATACACACACATACACACACACACACACATACATACACACACACACACATACACCTACATTTGCACTCACATACACAGTATACAGGCAAAGGTTGATCCCCTCTCTCTCTCTCTCTGTCTTTCTCTCTCTCTCTCACTCTCTCTTTCCATCTTATACTTCTCGTGCTCCTCACTCTTTCTTCAATAGAGGCGCGGTGTGTAACGCTATGTGAAATTAGTTTTGAGTTTACACTACGCTATAGTCAAGTCATGTGAACTAGATATTAACAACAACAATAAAACAAAAACAGAAACACTGTACACACACACACACACACACATCCATATGAATTCAACATAAACAAACAACAAATTTATAGGTGAATTTTTTTCATTTTCTGTGTCGATTTAAAATTAATAAAATGTGAGACAAAACCAACAACCAACAACAACTACTACAAAACAGCTTGTGATCTTAAGCTTAAGCCACATTTTCGACATTTTGTTTAACACACTCTCTCTCTCTCTCACACACACACACACACACATGCATACACACACTCATGCCAGAATCACTTCTATATATTGTGTACAAAATGCAGAAAACGTGGCTTTTGCATTTTTTTTTTATAAATTATTATTATTATTTATTTATATAAATAATATATAATTTTATTTTCAAATAAAATTTTTGATTTAACACTCTAAACTATATAAAAACGTAAACAAAATATAGTGAATATATATATATATATATATATATATATGTACATCAATATATATATAAAATTATATATATATACCAGTAAACTATACTGCTACTGCCTGCACCCTTTGAACCCCGCTCCGACAAGCTTGGGTTAGACCGAGACAGAAGTTGCTTAGAAATTCTAAATAAAAACATATACAAAATGAAATAATAACTGATTTTATAGGTTATAAACAATTGGAAAATCTATGTTGTGCTAGAAAAAATGCAGCAAGAATTTTTTTATATACACAATATAAAATAAAATTGAACGAAACAAAAACGAAACGATACGTTTAATAGGCTCAAGCGAATATATATATAACAAAAGGAACCATATACCGAAAACAAAACAATTTAGGATTATATGTATTTAACAAATTGTTTGAAGAAAAAAAATAAATTACATACATATACAATACATGCGAAATAAAGAAAGCCACAGAAAATAAATAAACAATTGGAACTAATAAAAATAGATAAAGCAATGCAAATGTGTTTTTATCTAGATAAATCGGAGCATGCACATTGACAAAAGTATTTCTAAATCCGAAATTATTTGAAAATTGATGACAGTTTTAATATATTCACTTAAGGTGTAACTATTTTTCTTTAATACGAAATATAGAAAATTAGAGCGCACAATAGGTTATCCGGTTTTAAACAGAATTTTATTAATTATAGATATTAATAATTATATATATATATTTATTTTTACTTCTATTTCTATAGATCGCTTTTGAGTGCAAGTTGCATCGTGTAGGCACGTTGAAAGGTTAAGTGATAGCCTTGATAGCTACACTTAAGCGATAACTTAGTATGAGAGTGCTCTAGTAAATCTTCGATAGATCGGAATAAATTGTGTTTAGTAGATGGCGCTCTTGCTGGCTAATCGAGCTGTTCTCGGCTCCAAAATCTCGGAGCAAATATTTTAGATCGCACATTTTACGCTCCACCCAGGCGCAGATGATCTCAGCGAGCGCATCCTGTTGCTGGAGTGGCACAAACGCACCTGGTCTTTCCACCGGCTCCTGATTGTAGGCCACACATGGTGTCGCTAGCGGTGACTCGAACTGGGCCAGTGAATAGTAGTACTCGATAAGCTTTATATGTGAGGGCGATTGACGCGAAGGCGGCAGATTGAGATGCAGCAGGAGCAGCAAGCGCATTACCTCGACGCGGCGCAATAGATCGCTGTACATCAGCGGCACCCGTCGTTCATAAATATTATCCACAATGTCGTCCAGTTGCAGCAGTGCGTCGCGATAATCCTTTCGCTGCATGCTCATCTCGGCGCTCATCTCCAGATCATTGATTCGATGTGTGGGCGACGCAAAGCTGCTGGTACGATCCATCTGACGCTGCAATTGCTTCAGCTCGCGCAGCACAGCTGCCTTGAAGACGCCGCTGTCAGCGACACGCTCCGCGGCCCGATTGTAACAATGCAATGCGCCCTCCCGGAAGCTGTTGGGGCCGGTACGCAAGTGCAGCAGCGCCGACTCGTTGTGCGCCACCAAAAAGTCGCGTGCAGCGCGCACATACGCTTCGGCCTCCCGTTGCGCAGACCCGCCAAACGACTCACATTTGGCATAGCCAATGTGGCACATAGCTGCGTATTGCATGATTCCCGATTCCTCAAAGCTGTACGCCAGACGTTGGAAATCCGCCTGCACGTCCGCCACATTGGGCGCAAAGCGTCTGTTGGGATGGTGACGACAAAGATAGTGAGGAATTACACGAAATTATGTTGAGAAACGGAGGATGCAGTCAAAACTTACTTGAAGAAAACGACACGTTCAATTTTCTTAATTTTTGTTGACGCACGTAAATATTGCTCAATACAGTTCTTGGGATATTGCTCGAGTTGTTGTTGTTGCTGCTGCTCTGCCGGCTGTCCACTGCCGGTGCTGGTGCTGCGTCGCCTATCCATGATATTTAAGTGCTATACATTATAAATAGTTAAAGGTATGATTGAATTTGTCAAAACAAAAAACAGCAACAGCTCTGTAAGTGTTGGACAATGCCAAAGATGACCACAAGAAGATTAATGTAGATATCGCCATGCGCAGGCGGTTTTGACGTATCACGTCACAGCCTGTTGTATTTTCAAACTAAAATTATATATAATAAACGTTTTACTATCATTTAGTTGTCCAATTTAAATACACATTCCATTCATATAGAGCTCAATGTGTATGTTCAGCGCAATTAATACTGGCAATTATGTGGCGCTACCTGATCATTTTACTGTGCCTTGCTTTTCGACGTTAGCCAGCACTGTGCAATTCAGCTGTTTACACCTATACACTCAGCACCATTTTTTTGCAAAACCGCAGAGCAGAACGTTGAAAATTATTGCAGCGCACGCCACGTTAACGCGCCGCAACGCATTTAGTTAAATAAAAAATACATATACAAAATTATTTTATCTTAATCATTGACAAGAACGGTATAAAAATGGCCATTGCCGAGCACGATAACGTTTTCATTTTTGTGCCGAATCTGATTGGTAAATTTCGTTTAGTAAACAATTGTGCCGTCGGGTATAGTGAGGCAAAATCGATTGACAAAAAGCTAATTTGTTTGATTTGAGAAAATTAATATAAAACTAAAATAAATGTAACTTTAAAAACCTTAAAAATATCATAAGTGCTAAACTTGTTTAGATAAGACTATTGCCAAAACAACTAAATATTTTTGGCGGTTTGTGCTTTAATCATAGCCAAAATATTTTGCATATAGGTCCACGGTGCAATACATGGTAGCAGCAACAATGTGTATACATACCAATGTTGTTGTTGTTTTTGTTTTTGTTTTGTAAGCTTAATTGAATTAGTGGACGTAGGTGGCGCTGCAACCTGTCAAATGCAAGATGTTTTGCGCCCCAATACTAACAACCCCTAAACATTATGACAATGTCACCCACAGCAGCGCCATCTATGTGTGCGGATGTGAATATATATACACATTATCGATTGGAATTGCATTTGTTGATGTTGACGTTGTTGGCTTGTGTGTATGAATTTCTGATGTGTATACGAATTATTTCCATTTTGCAGGTTATGCACGCATCGTCTTGGCCCTTATTGCTTTCTGGTTTATGTCAACGAACTACGTGATCGCCGGTTGGTGTTATATAATCAGTGCACTACTGGACGCAGTCGATGGACATGCCGCCCGGGCATTCAATCAGAGTACGTCTCATTCCGCATTTACTATTTCATATTTCCATTGAACATCATCATGATCATCATTGCCGCCGTTCGGCATACGTCAATCGTCAAATCACTTAGCCGGCAAACCGTGCCGTCTCTTTTTATTTACACAAAAGTACATAGATCCTCACCATGTATGTAGATGTGCTTGCGCACTTTGTTCACATACGTGTCTGAAATGTGTATATTACGATGACCAGATACCATAATTTACCTACTTTTATCGCATTCCAAAACAGCACACACACCTATAATGTACATATGCATATCTATGTATGTCTATGTATACAAATCTAGCCAGTCCATTGGTCATTCCTATAATTTCAAAGTCTAAGAACTCTCAAGTTTTCAATAGATAGACAGACATATAGATAGATAGATAGATAGACTCGTACTTATCATAAGTTTCGCCAAACCACCTTGGACGAATTTAAAGATTGCTCTTTGAAGCATTTTCTTTTCTGAAATTAAATTATTTATTACATTAGTCATTAAACACAGCCAGTCTGTGTTATGACTTTGAGGCACTACTGATTGTAAAAATGATGTGTGTATACGCGTGTCTATTGTAATTTATTCATCTGATTGCAGGCACACGTTTCGGTGCCATGTTGGACCAGTTGACAGATCGGTGCGGCACGACGGGTCTGCTGGTTACCCTGGCCTATTTCTATCCAAGCTACATGTTCTGGTTCCAGTTGTCGATCGCTATTGATGTCGCCTGCCACTGGCTCTACATGCAGACGTAAGCTGTTAGCTGCCACTTGTAGTACATGATATATATTTATGGTTAATTCAAAATTGCAGGAGCGTTGTGGTTGGACGCGTATCGCATAAGGTGAATGATAATTTCGTGATGCGCATCTACTATCAGAAGGATGTGCTGACCTTTATGTGTTGCGTGAATGAGCTGTTCTACGTTTGCCTGTATCTCTTGCATTTCACCTATGGACCCTTGAGTACGTTATGCCGCCACTTCCAAAAAACTATGTGTATTAGGGATTTATAGTGGCTTTCTAAATCGCATCTTTATTTGCAGTATTCGGCGCCTCGTTGTTCAAAATATTGGCCTTCCTCACCGCACCTTTTGCGGTGCTCAAGGCATTGATCTCTGTAATGCATGCCTATGTGGCTGGCAGCGATTTGGCTGCTGTCGATGTGCGTGAGCGCCAGGAGAAACGCCAAGGCACTGAGCCTGTTGTCGTTGGCAAGAAGCTGGAGTAGGCTGGCGAGAAGTGAAACAACATAAAGTACGAAGAAAAACTCTTGATTCCAAATAATAATAACTAAAACAAAACAAAACGTAAAACAAACAGAAAACAACAACTAACTAATTATAGTCGAATTTTAGTTAATATTAGTATGCTGTAAAGCTATTTGTTGACTTTATTTCATATTTTTAGTTTTACAATTAAAATTTGAAGTCGTGGGGTGATTATTCAAGCATTATATTTGTATACATATTTATTTGCCTAAGTTAAAGTTAATTTTTAAATTTTGTGACGCTTACACACATACACATAGAGATTTGTATCCACATATATATTATATATATAAGCTATTTGCATGTTTGCAAAAGTTGTTTAAATGGTTTTTGAATCGATGTTATCCATTTTAAATGAAATTCTTCAAATAACTGAACTAATATTATATGTATATTTAACATAAGCCGTAGCAACAATTGGTACCTACAACAACTTATTACAAGGCGCGACCTGCAAGTGAAGAAACCAACAAAATGAATATTGATGTTTAAAATCTGTAGTAGCATTATCGAAATAGTCGAAATGCAGGGCGATATTAGTCAATATCGTTATAAAAAACAAAAAAAAAATGAACAAAAGAACAAAAAATCAACAGTTTGTTAGTGGTGAACAGAGAAATAAATTGTTTTTGTGTGCAAATCCAAATTGATGTGAAAGTTATTTCATGCGTAAAAATTAGTTTAAATTTAGCGCCCAACCGATGCAATTGCAGTTCTCATTAAACAAGTGCGATTGCAGCCCTGGTTAACGCACAGCTGACGCACAGTGCTGTGCAGCCCTGGTAAGACGACTGCTCTCCAAATACGCTTGGCCATTAATTTGATACCATTTTTGTTTTGGTTTTTTAAAATGCATACACCTTGCGCAGCGCAGCCACAAAGCCGCAGCTATTAATTAAACAGTGTTCCAGTTCCCGTTCGAGTAGGACAGGAATGGGCTACACAGTACTATCGCGATTGCGCACCCTGGCACGGTATACAATCGCCTACGCTTGTATAACCCACTGTACTTTTGAGTATGTGGGTGACTTTGTTTTGGTAAGCGAACGATTTGTTTACCTTCTTTTTTTTGTGTTGATTTGATTTTAATTTGCAGTGCAATGGTCCGTCCATGGAGCCAACGCTCTTTTCGGACAATGTCCTGCTGACGGAACGCCTATCGAAATACTGGCGCAAATATAAGTCGGGCGATATAATTATTGCCGTTTCGCCTGTTAATGCCAGCCAGTATATTTGCAAGCGTATTGTGGCTGTATCCGGCGAGAAGATAACGACACTTAAGCCGCATCCAATTGAAGCCGAATCACAAGCGTCAAAGCAGCCAAGTAAAATGTCTATGGTCACGGACTATGTGCCGCACGGATGCGTTTGGATCGAGGGTGATAATAAGGGCAACAGTTCCGATTCACGCTATTATGGGCCCATACCTCTCGGTCTCATACGCAGTAGGGTCATCTGTCGCATTTGGCCGCTCTCAGAGATAGCGGGCCTATAATAGTTACACATTTCTAGTTGTAAACCTCATTTTAATTGTAAATTGATGACAGCCAAATAGAATATTTCTTTTAAAATCGATAAATGGCATTGACTATCGACGATTGACAAAGTCAATATTCAAGTTCGATATCAGAGTACTGATTATGTTCGCTAATGAGCACAAAAGATTGTTATCGATATACGACTTCGATAATCGATTGATCGACACTCGGCTCATACTTTACTGCATTTGGCAGATGAATTCCAAAGATTTGCATACAATTACATTTATCACTAAACATTTATTTGTTCTATTCAGCGACCAGCAATAGAAATAGTATAAAAAATGTCTTTTTCGATAAATGTCGATTTTGGTGTGGTTCCTAGCCAATTACTTTGCCAACAAGCAACTACAAATTAATGGAAGACAAAATTAAGTTAGGGATAAAAACAATATTATCGATAAATGACATTCTTATCGATATTGACTGAATTTGAGCTACAAATTTTTGTACAAATTAAAACTAAGCAATTGCACTACAATTTTGGCACCTGTTGCTTCTCATCCTTCTGGGGATCAACGTAATATAACTGATACTCCTTTTTGAGCACCTGGTGCACAAGGTTGTGGCAGGTGAAGTCCAAGCCACGCTTCTGATAGTCCAGATATGTGCGCACAAAACTGCGACTCCCCTCGAGCACCAACGGATTTTCCAAATACTCCGCCAGTGGCATCCAACTAGCGGACTCGATTTCCCGCTCGCACCGCTTGATGTCCAGATTCAGGGGCTTCAGGCCAATGACTATGTAGATGTCGGAGCAACCGAAATTGCCGCCATGCGAATGCCGCAAACAGACCATCGACCGAAACTCGGTCCGTATGCCCGTCTCCTCGAACACCTCGCGCACCGCCGAATCGATGAAATTCTCGCCCGGCTCCACATAGCCGCCGGGCAGCTTGCAAATGTTCTTCGCTATCGCATACTTGTCGGAGACAACCAACACCTCGTTCTGATCGTTGATGACCAGACCGCCAACGCCCAGCAGCGTGTGCGCATAGCTAGGCAAGTTGCTCTCCTCGTGTCTGGGTAGCCACAGATACATGGTGACAACGCCCACTCTGGCATGATGGAAGTCGAAGCCCGCCTCCGTCAATATGGGCACCCATTCGGACTGATCCCTGTACACGCGAAACCATATCGCACGATTATTGTTCGCTCGCCAAAAATCCAAAGATTCTAAAAAAAAAACAACAATAAAAGATATATATCCATATATATATATATATATATATATATATATATATATATATAAGACGATTATATCATATAACATTTACTCTGTAACATTTGCTGGAATTGTGTTTTGTCAGCAATCTGCACAGCCTGAGCCTTGCAGTCCACTGTGACGCCTTGGAAGCGATCCACCACACCACGAAAGACATCCGGCGGCGAGTCCATGTTCTTATAGCTGTGTCAGAGCATGCAACATGCAACAAGTGTTTGACTTTGCACTTAAGCTTGATTTAACTTGATTTGATTGACTTACCCCAAAAAGCTGCGAGTATAATGCCGCTGCGACCAGGCTACAAATGTAGTAATTTGCCTTGCTGTTGTTGGTTTGGCTGTTGTTGTTGGAGGAACGGATAGTTTGCGGCATGAATTGAGCGCGTTTGACAAACAATTACTGCGGCGGCACAGCAATGCGACTGACGACATTAAATTCCAGTTGCGCTATTTGACCCGGTGACGATGACGATGAAGCTGTCTGTCCGCTGCACGCAACTCGTGGCAACTTTGCAATCTTGCAACTTGGTCTAGCTACTTTCAACCAAAAACAAAAACAAAAACCAACATTTTGATTACGATGATGAATGATAAATGAGAATGAGGTTTAGTCAAAGGCTCAATTAACTCAAATGTGGCATGAAATTACAATTTGCAATCATGTCTCGAATTGATAACCTTCAATGATTGTCTCTGTGTGTGTGGCTGTGCGTGTGTTGAGTGAGCTTTGACATTTCCGTATTTGTTGTGGTTTATCAGCTGTTATCAAAGTTATATGCGCCTTTTATATAATGCACAATTACACACACGCACATACGCACACACACATACTTAAACATTCGCAAGTGTCGGAATAATTCATAGTTCATACTTCAAACGCTGCTGCTTTTGAATATATTTATTTATTTACACTGGCAATTTCGCGCCAGTTTCTTGCAGCGTTACAAAAAGTTCCCTGTTTTCAGCGCAATGTGGCCGTTTGTGTGCATGTGTGAAAATACAGCAATTTTAAAAAAGATATGTTTTGTTTTATTTTCAAAATCGACACTTGAATAACGTACTTTTAGACTTATTGAATTGCCCTGATTCTCAAGGGCAAAATGGAAATACGTTGATAGAAAAGTAAAAATATTGACTGTGGTCACCCCATTTTGGCAGTGCTGTCGATAACATTTTATCATACGCATCATGCTATCATTTATCGATAGATTTCATAATAGCGCGCTTTTATTTCGATTTGAAAATGGAATAAAGGTCATCTGCGTTGCATGTAGAGAATGGATGTAATGGAGAACAAGACAATTGCTGAGAGCCACAATAAACGTGGAAAGTATTATTTTAACGTGGGTGTCCAAACTGACCTCAAAAGAATAAAAAATGAGTAATATCCTCATTTGATCTTAATTGGCCTTCAGAAAATACAACTTCTAGAATTATATCGAAAATGCATTTACAAATCATTTTTAAGTTGAACGTGTACTTTATAAATAGAACTTAAATTCATTTTATGAAAGTTTTTATGGATGTGCAACGATTTGGAAAATTATATTTGAGGCAGCAAAGCGCGAAATTCCACAATTAAATAAAATAAAATAAAAGGGATTACAAAACGATGTTGGCAAATGCACAATTTAACAAAGACAGCTTGTTGCCATGCGGGGGGTGGATCAGGACCAGACCCAGGCCAGATCCCATCTCATTCAGGTGCCTTAACTGGCCTTAATAACAAAAGCCGTCCCATTGAGTTTTTTGTGTGTGTTTCTATTTTGATTGGCAGCTTAGTTTTTTTTATTTAGAGAGAAGTGAAAAAAGTTGGAAAATATATAAAAAAAAAAAATAAATAAAATGATTACCCCTACCCCCGTATTATGACAGCGGCTATTTGCACAGTTGCTTAAATAAATTTTCCACTAAGGGTTGCGATTGGTTTTCGAATGTTTGGATTCCCATTCATAGCTGCTGCTGCTGGCTGTTTGGCTCTTTGGCTTAAGTGAAAATTCCACTGCAAATATGTATTTTTACTGAGCAATGAGATGGCGTCAGTACTCCCAGGGGGAACATAACGGAGTGGGAGGAGGCAAGCGACCGACAGGCATTCAAATTGGAGAACCCCTTTTTTTCGGCGGCCCAACAATTTTGTGTGTTTAATCAGAGAGTTAATTTTCCATACTAAACAATTGTTTCACTGTTCTTGCACAGCTTTATGTGTGTGTGTGTGTTGTGTCTTCTGATTGATCTTATTCTGATTGGTCCGTGTTATTCTCTCAATTAAGCAGTCTGGCAACGATGCGCTTGCGGCTTCTCTCTTAAGTTATGCTTTGCGTTTGCATATCTATAGAAACGGGAACAGAAGCAGAGAGCGAAATATTTGGCAGCCACATATATATGTATATATATATGAGTGTGCGTATGTGTGTGTGTGGGCGATGCTGCACAGCTGATTTTGATTTTTGCATCGTCTTAATTGGCACATTTACAGAAAGAGAAAAATACACGGTAAAAGGAAGGCGCAACAATACGCAACGGCAGCTGCTGCAAACTCCACACACACACAAACACACAAATACACGCAAATGGCGCATGCCAAAACGCTGGAAAGACAAAAAAAAAACAACAACTCGAAGATGGGAAAGAAGAAACAAGCGAAGACGGCAGACGGACAGGGATAACAATAGAAAAGTGGCAAAATCGCAGCACAAATAACACCCAAGGAACAGCTGTCGACGCAGCCAGCGACGTCACCGTCATCATCATCATCACCAGCATCATCATCATCAACACAACAACAACAAAAGTTGAACAGAATTATTATTTATGTGCGACTTTCTAAATGCGTCAATAAACTAAATAGTAAAATGCATTGCGGCAGGTCAGTTGTCAGTTTGTCAGTTGTGACGTCATCTAATCTGTTCCGGCGATGGGATTTGTGATAAACTTCAAGACTTTAATATTTGTTTGTTAATCACAATCGCATCTCATCTTACTGTTTATCAGCATTGATTATTATTATAATTGGGATACCTGCTCTGCGATCTACTAGATATAGTAGAGTGCCCCCCACTCAGCCTATAGCTCCTCCATTCCCAGCTATTTGTTGGGTTGAGTATCGCTATCTCTTCAAAATCTTTCTTATCGAACAAATATTCAGTGCTGCAAAAGTCTTTGCTGAAGATGGAACAGGGGCGACTCGAACAGTTGCAAGTTGAAACATGTCAAAACTCTTATAAAGTCATTACATAAAATGTTATGATGACAAAATTGGACATATCGTATATATATATTTATAGCTATTGTCAGGAATTACTCTTTGCTCTGATTGTCTTGCAGATATCAAATAATGATCGCTTCTCGGGCAGCGTGCAGCGTGCAGCGTGCAACTCAATTCGGAAAGCTGACCAAAGCTGTTTACACCAAAATTGATGTCACAAAATCAATTGTCCGACACGAAAGCAATAAAAACAAGGCCATCAGGGCAGGCAGGCAGGCAGTAGCTATAGAATCCGCCCTGTTTTGCTAAAAACAGGGGTCAGTTGCGTAACCGGGTCTGCTGCTGCTACTGCTGCCATCATCCATCCACAGGACAATCGAAGGCAAATCTTAATGATTGTCGTCGTCGTCGAGCGAGCGAGCGTTGCATAATTTTCCAGTTCAGTGAACCGCCAGAAACGTTGATCCTGACCCACAAAAGATTGTCCTCGTCGCCGTCGCCGTCGTCGACATGCCATAATGAAGAGGTCAGTTTTCGCACGCTGTTGTTTGTTGTTTGTTTGTTGTTGATGTTGATGTTGATGCCGTTGCAGTTAAAGGATTATCAGAGCCGCAACATGGGCGCGAACTTGCGGTCGACTCTGCTGTCGCTCTGCTGCCAGCTGCACAGTCGCTGTTGTAGTTGCAGTTGCCGTTGCAGCTCCTGCGCAATTTGTTACGCATTCCATTTGCACTTTTATTTAATCTTTTTACAGGATACACAGGATGCGCTGGCTGGTCACAACCGCTCTCGCTTGTGCACAGTCACATCCTGTCACATCCTGTGGCACACATGTATCCATCACATGCTTGATTAATGAATTGATTCTCATTCAGCCCACAACATTCCCAGGCTGCCAAAATGGGAGCACGAAATGGGTTCAATGGTTAACCATTGAAAATGTTACTTATTGTCAGATCGGATGTGGATCCTGTTGAATCTTGCAACTAAACCAGATTTGAATTGATGCTCTTTGTCTGACTTTAATTCGAATTGAGTTCCTTTTTTTTCATATTATTATTATTATTAGTGTTGTATTTTTAAAATACTATATAAATATTGATTTTATGCACAATTTTGTTGTTTGTTGCTTAATTTGAAGGGTTTTTCTTTTTATTTTCATATTTACCTAAATGATGGTCAATAAAGTTGCACATAAAATAAATATAATCGAGCTGATGGCTAACAGCAGATGGGATCAGTCCGTCCACAACACAATTAAGCCCAATTGTAAAGGGTCACACCACATGTAAACCTTTCAAATGCTGAGTTTTCATTTTCTAAAATTGTTTTTTTTTTTATGTTCGTTCATGTGCATTTAAATAGCTGACATGTAATAAAAATCAAGCTTCGTTATGGGACATTGAAACGGGTCGTCGGCGCTGGGCAAGTGGCAAAAGGGGCAAACGTTGCCCGCGGGCTTTGTTAGCTCGGCTTCTTCGGTTTGATGGACAACCTCAGGAGTTGCGTTTCTCTCATTGCTCCTCGTCCTGCAATGCGATGTTTTCTTAATAATAATTTCCACTCTTTTCTTCCGGGCAGCATCAGTTGGACAACAAAAAACAAAAAGGGTTCCATTTGGGAACTTTCTTGATTAGCTCACACAGATCAGTGACCCGGGTTCGTGGTGCGGTGCGGTGCGGTGTGCAGCGGGTCAAATGGGGTGGTGCCTCATCTAATCCAATTACCAATTGACCGCGCCTCAACCATTGCACCCAATGCAATCATTAGCAGGGGCATTCATGCTGCTGGCTGCTGACTGCAGGACACTTTTGGAGTGCATTTTTCGCTTTAAATTATATTCGATTTCCTGAATTTTGATGTCTAATTTGTTTAATTTGAACTCATAAATTGTTCAACGCATATTATATAATATATATTATTATACTATTATTAAGGTATACATATATACATTTATAGTTCAAATTGATTTAATGGCTCAGTTATTAAATAGATTTCAATCTTTTAACCCATTAAAGACACAACAGGAATTGAATAAAAAAGAGGCTGGCAAACATGCCACAAATGTGCACCTAATGAAAAACTGTCAACGTGCAACGAATGTTTGAATCGTAAAACTTACAACAACAACTAAAAAACGACCACAATTGGAAATTAACCCGATGGCAACATATGCAATAAGCAGGGGGGGAAAAAACAAATTTTCATGTGTCATAAAGTTAAGATCGACATGAAAACAGCAGCAACGCCCCCAACCCCCTTTCTCCTGCCCACCGTCAGCCAAATGGGTTTGTGTTAATGTGTTAGACGCGTGGGTTGGTGGTTGATGGTGGTGCTGATGGTGATACTGGTGCTGGTGGTGGTGCAATTGGCGATATGCATCTATTGCTGCACTTTTGACAGCTTACCATTAACATTCTGCGAGTGACCTTTAGATGGTTGGAGGGGTTGCTGCTCATGAGTTCGGGTTCAGGTTCAGTTTGAGGCTCAGGTTGAGGTTCAGGTTGAGGTGCCTCGCGGCTTCAGGCAGTTGCTGGGCGGTCGGTCATTACATGTAAACATTTTAGGGTTTTTTCTTTTTGTTTTGTGTTTTTGGTTATATAATTGATTTTCTGCACTGACGTCATTAGCAGATCAGCGATTAGCGATAAATGTCTGCCATATAGTACTATATACATATATATATATATATATATACATACATATATGCCAGTCTGACCCTTGACTAATTCCCTTAAGCGTTGCATGCCCCTCTGTTCGCACGTCTCTCATC